ATGTCCAAGTTGGCGGTGTTTTGGGGGTAGCTTCGTTGGGAATGTTTTGCAGGGGGAAGGGACACCTGGTGGAAGACTGTTCGGCAGGCCACTGCCTCAGATGGATCCGTCGGTACCGGATTATGCTCCATGCTCAAAGTAGAAATGGATGGCTGCGAGCCCTTTGTTGGGGTTTAAAGGGAACCCAAACAAATCCGATCCATTTTTGGCACCGATTTTGACGCACCCACATGAAAACACATGCGGTTGGCACACCAAGTGCGTTTGGTGGCTGCCTAGCAAAACCTGCCTCGCTTTGTGTTTGATTTTCCATGGGGACGTGTTGGGGACATCACTTAAGGGGCCAAAGGATGACACGCCTTGTCTAATGCTTGGTGGCTCCCAGCCATCCCCTTGGCTTTTAGCCATTTACCCCACTAAGAGTTAAACTTTTAGCGGGGGATCTGAGGGCAGCCCAGTATGATCATGCCTACATAATATGGTTCCGAGGTGCCCCGCAGCCCGATTCGGCCCTTATATATGACATGGGGCCAGAGACCAAGGAGTCCCCAATCCAAGATCATGCTCGCATCACCTGGCGGTTCTCGGCCATGCGCAACTTTAGGTTTAGATGGATTTTAGGACATCTCCCCCAAAAAGTCACGCTAGGAATCTGGGCACCAAACAGTTCCTGAGTTACATGTGGCATGTCCCCAACATATTTCCGGGTGGTTTCTTTCAGCTTCCCGCTATTCGTCTGGCTTCGGATTTTTCGACTCCAAGCCTTGAGCAGTTGCTCCCAATTTTCGCAAGGCGCGAAGAAGAAGGCTGCGGCGGAGTGGCGGGGTTTGAAGGCGCGCGCCTCTATGGGTGTGTCCTTTCTGGTTGGTTTGGTTCAACAAGTTGAGGGCGATTCCTGGTCTACCTGGTGCTTCACTCATCTGCCAGGGCCATCTATTTTTCGAATGAAGGGCGCCCTGTGCCATTGAGAAAGTGGGGTCGGAAAGGCAAGTGAGTTCGCCTCCCTTGAGCGGCTGCTTGGATTTTCTCACTCGGTCAAAAGCCCAGGCTCTCTAACTGAACTGTAGACCTGAGGAGGGGCCTTCCTTGCAAGGCACACTGAAAGACTCAAAAACGTGGGGCAAGCCCTTCTTTCCCCGAAATCCTCCGATTTTTGTTTGACCTCTTTGTTGGGTTGCTGACCCCCAAAACCGCTGATTTGTTTTTTGAGGACCTGGGTTGCTTCTGTTAGTGTTTTGTTTGCAGGGGGTGTATCCAGCTGGCAGCTGAAGGGACCTGGCCCCTTCAACATCCATTCTGGGACTAAGCTTGGAGCCAGACATGTTGGACCGTTGCCACTCTGAGGGTATGGAAGTGTCTCAAGTGTTTTGTCATTCTCCAACTCAGTTGTTTAAATCGAATTGACCTTTTGACGCAACTATTGACCTTTTGGATTCCCCTGTTTGGTCCATTTTTTAGTCATTGCCGCAAAAGGTTAGCCTTGTATTTCTGGGTCATTTAGGCAACTGGGCTAATGTCTGACGACTTGGGGACTACCCAGTCTCATGCCATGGTCCGCCGGAACGCTTGGGGCCTAGAAACCGCGCCCATGGTCCACGTTTTGGGGGAGTTTTGGATGGTCGCCATCTGGGCTGGAGAAAACATTTAGTCTGACGGTCATGCCTCCCAACATGGGGAAAACCTTGGTCCTCCCTAAACCCAGAACCAAAAACCACAGTTGGTGGAGTGATTTGTCTGGTTAATTCCGTCAACGAACGAGACCTTAACCTGCTAAATAGTTACATGTAACCTCGGTTATATTGGCAACTTCTTAGATGGACTTTGTGTGTCTAACGCAAGGAAGTTTGAGGCAATAACAGGTCTGTGATGCCCTTAGATGTCCTGGGCTGCACGCGCGCTACACTGCGCTCAGCGAGTTTTTGATCTTGCCTGAAATGGCTGGGTAGTCTTAATCTTTTTAAAATGCATCGCGGGGATAGATCATTGGATGAGTCTGAGTTCCAGAGCTCTTGATCAAAAGAGCCCTAGGGCTTCGGGCCTTCGGGCTTCGGCTTCTTTGGCGGCCAAAGGAGGTTGTTAAGATGTGAGCCGCAGGATAAAAACACGACTCGCCACAGTCGTGTTTTTTTGGGGGGGCCCTATCTTGACGAGCCATACCGCCTTGGTTGAACCCCAAGCTGAACAGGGGCCATTGCTCAACAGATTGGTGATCTGGTTTCATGCCAAAGAACCAGCAAAGTTTGTTTCCCAAGACTTGGTTTCAGAAGCATGCCCCTACACTCAACATGGCGTCTGGGAACTCGGTCTCACTCGGCTTGGCGCAGTTGACGCGAGCCTCTCCGCTCGCGTGAGGAGAGCCTGGTGCCACTGCTCCAACTCACAGCCTTCCACATGTTCAAGGCGACGGCTCCGGTGGGGTTTGGGGGGTGGGGGGGGGGGTTCGGGGGGTGGCAGGGGTGGGTGGGCTGGGTGGGGTGGGGGTCGGCAGGGAGTATGGACACCGATGATTTTGTTCATATTTTGGCCATTTTCCTGTGGCCTGCAGTTGTTATTTGAAAGATGGGCCTCAGTTCTCTTGGGAGTATCTTACTCCTTTTGTTGGATTAGTCTGATTCTGTGACGAGCTCACCGGACGGGGGTAAACAAACGCTCACAGTCGCTCGCCATGATATACGTATAGGTTCTTCAACTCTTGTTTCAGGTTTTGGAATTATCGCAGATAATTTTCAATGAACGAACACCGTAAGTGTTACTTGGAAACCAAGCCAAATCATTGTCACGGATTTACCCTGCCCAGTGGATTCCGTAGAAAACCCATTATCTTCCCCAGAACTAGTTCCTTTTTTTGGATCTCCTTTGTTTTCCACATACAAAAAAAGATCCTTTTTTTTTGCTGGGGTCCCAATTCCAGCCTTGTTCAAACTCGTTGAGCTTTGCCAGACTTCGGGAGCTCCGGGGTTTGCTTCCTTGTCCATTCTTTTCAGCCCTCGTTCTTTTCAAAAAAAAAGAAACGATCGCAGTTCTCCCCCGCGATCTGGAGGTTTCGGAACCGGAGGGGGACTCCTCTGGTGGGGTTCCAATCGAAAAACCGAGCGCAGTTTTCTTTTTGCGTTCTGGAGGTGTCTAGGAAGATTCGGATCCCTAGGATGGACATGAAGGGTAACACGGAAAGGGCCCTCTGGTAGGGGAGAAAAACAACATGGAGGGTACACAATTGAAGAAACATGACAAACTATGACGAAGCAATCAGTCAATCACCCAGCCATCTACTTGGTTCAGTCAATCAATCAGTCCATTTTTGTTGGCAGTCAAACCTTCAATGGCTGAACAATCAATTAGTCAAACTTTCAATGAATCCATCCATCCAATCAGCCAATTTCAATCAATTCAACCAATCAAGTAAGTCAATCAATCAATCAACCAATCAATTCAATCAACTCAATCAATCAATCAAATCAACCCATCAATCAGTCAACCAACTAAATGAAACAATCAGTCAATCAATTCAATCAATTCAATCAATTCAATCAGTTCAATCAATTCAACCAATTCAACCACTCAATTCAATCAACCCATCAAGCAATCAACTCTATCAATCCGATCAATTCAACCAATCAATCAATTCAATCAATCAGTCAACCAAAAAAACAGAAAATACTCAACTAAGTCAACCAATCACTCAATTCAATCAATCAGTCGACCCAAAAAACAAGAGAAAACACTCAACTAGGTCAACCAATCAATCAGTTCGTCCTATCCATCGCCTCTCGGAAGATCCCGTTCCGAGGCCTCCCGGGGCATTTTGTGCCGCGCTTTGGCCGCGTCCCCGGCGCCCAAAGCGGCCGAGAGCGCGGCTCAGAGCGCCTCTCAGAGCGCGGCGGAAGCGCGGCTGGTGCCTTGGAAGCGCCTGGGCGACGAGGCGAGGAAGGAGCTGTGGCAGCTGTGGGTTTCTTGTGGCGTCTTTTATATATATATATATATATAAATTATATATATATATATATAAATTATATATATATATATATGTAAATTAAATATATATATATATATATGTATGTATGTAAAGAGCCACAATCAAAACCCGGTGGGGTGGGGTGGGGTGGGGTGGGGTGGGGCGGGGAAACCAAAAGGACAACCGTCTTTTATGGGGGGGTCCCCAACATACACACACACACACCCATGATTAGGTCTGTCTGGGATACATTGATCTGATAGAATCAGGTCTACCTTGACTACATAGGGTCTATGGCAAGCGTGTTTTCCACCTTGGACCCTGAAGGCGACAGAATTGGTGAGAAGTCGTTTTGAATATGCTTCAGAACAAAGCCAATCTATATGTCGCATCAACTGGTGTGTTTGTGTGTGTGTGTGTGTGTGTGTGTGTGTGTGTGTGTGTGTGTGTGTGTGTGTGTGTGTGTGTGTGTGTGTGTGTGTGTGTGTGTGTCTGTGTGTCTGTGTGTGTCTGTGTGTGTCTGTGTGTGTGTCTGTGTGTGTGTCTGTGTGTGTCTGTGTGTGTCTGTGTGTGTGCGGGTGTGTGCGGGTGCGTGCGTGCGTGCGTGCGTGCGTGCGTGCGTGCGTGCGTGGGTGTGTGTGTGTGTGCGCAACATCTTGAGGTGAGGCTACATTTTTGAAGGTTAAGGAAATCAAAGGACAACCAAAGGAAACCCACAATGTGGGCCTGGGTCTCCCTATTTTGATGTTGACACAGTTTTGAAGGCAATTCGCAGGAAACCCGTTCGTTTTGGTCCCCCTTGCTCCACATAAATGAATATATATATATATATATATGCAACCCCCCCCCCCCATGGACCCTGGTTTTATATATATATATATGTGTATGTATGTATGTATGTATATGTATGTGTGTATATATATACATATAGATGCCCACATATGTATGTGTATATATATATATATATATATAGAAGGCTGAACAAAGACTAGCACAGTTTTCCCATGACTACGTTCAGTTGTAAGGTACCGCAAGCCCATGACTTCGCCAGGCCTTCCAAGGGGGGCGCTTCTTCATGGCTGCGAACTTCTACACCAGGCGGGGGGGACAGGGGGGGGGGAGGAGTTTTTTGTCCAGTCCTGATCATAGGTGTCCTTCCTGGCTTGTTTGGTTAAACAAAAAGGGGGGTGGTTCACTCATCTACCAGGGCCATCTATTTTTCCAAAAGGGACACCTATGGTCCTCATCTGTCCCTTGGCTCAAGCACTTCTTGCTTTCCAGTTCCCATTTCCGAGTTTCTGCGCTCGCTCGTTTTTGCGGGATGTTTCTTGGCAGTTCCCAGCCAGTAGACGTAGAGTTTGGAGTTGGATTTCTGGCCTGGGGGTGTCGTTTTTTGATGGTAACCTTTGTGGGATTGCTTTATCGGGCAACAGCCAGGGTGGCCGGCCCATTTGGGTTCCCCGATAATGAGGCTCCCGCCGGGTTTGAAGGACAAATATCCCAACCGGTTCAAATCCCCAAACCACTAATCCAAACCGCCAATCAGAGGAAAGCTGATAGTTTGTGGGGCTGCTTGAAAACGGCACGGGTGGGATTCCCATTGTGGTTCCCTCATTTTGAAACATATCCCACATCGACCAGCCCTCCAGACCCAGCCCCGAGCTCCGAGCCCCGGACGGACCGAGCCCCAGGTGGTTGGAGGAACCTGAGGAAGAGATGAAAGCAGCGGCTGTGAGCCCAGGTCAACCCCTCCCCACCCCCCCACCCCAGGGAAGAAGCCCAAGCAGGCAGGGGTCCCTAGCTTAGACACACCGCAAAGAAACTATGGCTTTTTGAGGTTTCTTTGGTCGTGCTCGGATTCTGCATGCTTCTTGAATCCCCAAAATGAGGAGATTACTCTTCACATGGCGGGTGTTTTGGAAGATGCTCTCTGTGAATTAATCTGCAAGATTGATTGTTTTTGTCGGACCCTTTGGGCTGCAGAAATGGAGAAGGATCGCCACGAAACATTTCGGGGAAGAAAGGTTCGCAAGGTTCGCTGGTTCCTTCCGAACCTTTTGGAGTACCCTCCCATGTTTTGGCCACATCCGGCAGTTGGGGTTTCTCTTGAAAAGGAACACGGTCCAAACCAGGACCCGAACGTCAGGTCCCATGTTAGTTGGTGGGGGTGGTGTCGTTTCTCTAAATCTGCAGGAGTTAGTCACTCGCTTTGGGGGCATCGCCGGACTCCGGCCAGGCCGGAGGGGAAATAACCCGAGATACTGACGAGGATTCTTGCGCTCCTGGCCCGGGGAGATGTTTGCTTTCCAATGAAAAGGGAATCGTCCAAACGGCGTAGACTTCTTTTGGTGGACTTGATGCCTGCGAAGACCGTAGTGTTGAAACGAAAAGGTTTAGACTTTGCATTGGCCAGTCCACTCAGGAAGAGAGTTCGTCACGGGTCTACATGTAGAAGTTGAGAGCTTTTTCCAGAAACCTCGCTTGCCCACTCCGGTCGTTGGAACTCCTCTGCTTTCAGGGACCTCCTATGTGCTTTCCAGGGACTACTTGTAGGGCAAGTGAGCTACACAGAACCCAGGCATTGCTTCAGCTCCCGACACCCAAAAGCCAAAGTGAACCTCAGCACCCGTGAGTCAGACTTCAGCGAGCCGAGGTGCTTTCCAACCGGTCCGCGTGCCTGGCCAAGGCAGGGCTCAGGGCCATTTCCTCTTTAGGAGCCCAGGATTCGTCGACTTTTTCACCACCAGAGGTGGGTTTATCAAAACCAATCTGGAACCCAAAGTGGTTTGTCGTGGGTTGTCCAGAGCCCCGTTTTAAAGCTCCCTTTTAATATATGTGGCCGTTGATTGCACCAACCCCCGTTTGAGGTCCCTTAGAAAGTGGCCAACGATAATTTGCACCAAACCCATGTTTTAGGGTTCCTTTTTTCAAGGGGCAACTGCACCGCCCTTTTTAGGTCCCTTTGAAGCAAGTGATTCATGCTTCAACCCCAAGGCACGCTGATTCTTGCTTCGCCGCGTGGGCTCAATTCGGCAACGGCAACGGCCAAAGTTGCAATGTTCAGGTGTATAATGCATCCGGATCCCTGTTAGGCCCCTTGAAACTCTTCTTCAGGTGGCCCTGTTATTCTTCATCCTTCAAGGAAGCCAACGAAGACCTCCGCCTCGGCCGGGCAGGTGGGGCATTTCGAGGCGTCCAAAGAAGATGCCGAGAGAGCCCTAGAACTTCGACCCAACTGGGGCAGGCACCGCTGCAACGGAGACTCCGGGGGCTGGGGGCTGGGGGCTGGGGGCTGGGGGCTGGTGGGGCGGGCGCTTCTTCGGCTTTTGCAGGGAAGGCCCTCGCTGAAGAAGAAAAGAAACGCGAAGAGAGGGGCTGGTGGCTTGCGGGTTGCGGTTTTTCGAGAAGGCCGTAAGGGTACATGGGAGATTTGACAAAATCGCGGGTTGCGGGGGGCTGGTGGCTTGCGGGGCTGGCTTTCACCGGTGTTTGCAAAGGAGGCGCTGGGGAAGGGTATATGAGAGATTTGACAGGAGGCGACTATGAAGCAATACATATCCATTGATGGTCAAAATGCTGCACCAGTTGTTAGGTGCTCCATCTCAGTTGTTTTTGCAGTGGAAGGAACCAGTTGCCATTGTGGGGATCCCAATTTTGAGAATCATCCTGGGAGAAGGGTACATGGGAGGTGTGACTGGTGACGACTCTGAAGCAATATCTATCTCTCAGATGCTACTGTGGATGGTCAAAATCCTGCAGTTGGTAGGTGCTCCGTCCGCGGTAGCACCTGTGGGAGGAAGTGGTAGGGTGATGTAGGGTGGATGCCCTAAAAGTTGCAAGTGAACCAGCAGCATCCAATTACAAGACCTTGTCATTTGCTCTCAATCATGTGCTGTCCCTTGTTTCTCCTGCAGAATAGGACACCCACTGTGGCGTGGGTTCTAGCCCTCAAATGCCATATGAGCCGACCGAAGCCTCAGTTGGCCATTGTAGTACTTTTAGTAATACGGTGCATGCCCCAAATATTGCAAGTAAACCAAACACAAACCATGCGAATTTACAGGGTTTCCCTTGCTCCCCACTTGCAATATTTCGGGCATCCACCGTACGGCCCGTCAGCCGCCATGTTGGTACCAACATCCACGTTTTGGACGGCCCCTCCGTGTTGGGAAACCCCAGTTCTACACTAGGCTGACCCAAACCGGCAAGCCAAACCACCAAACAGTTGCCTGAAGTTGGTTGGTTTCGGGAAACCAAAGCAAACCTTCACTGCTCTTGGCATGTTTTTTTGGTTTTTTAGTTTTTTGGTTCTGTTCATTTTTACTGGGGGTCTGCAAAAAACAAAGTGTTTTGCTACCATACCAAGAGTAGAGATGAAACTAAGACCATCCAATGGAGTGTTTTTGAGGGTGTTCCAGCCATTCAGCTGAAGAAAAAACGTGCACTCTGAGATGGATTCCCCTACCCCCAAACCCAAACCCCCAACAATAAAATCAAGGCGCATACCCGTTACACAACCGATTACTTGGTGGCTCCCAGCCATCCCCTTAACCTTTTGGCTTTTTAGTGTTTTTCGTGGTAGTTTCCATTTAACCCACTGAAAATTAGTCACTTTCAGCGGGGGATCTGAGGGCAGCCCAGGTCATATCGTCGTTGTATAACGCGCCATGTGGCTGTGGGTCAAAACCATTAATGGTACCATTTTGGGCTAGGTGAATTCACCACCCATTTTAGAACCTATTTTAGTGGTTGGATTGGGATGTTGACCCGTGGCCATGTGTGTTTGCTTCATCTTTGCTCAGGGAAGGTGGGCATGAACCCAAGTTTCCCCCTTCAAGGAAACCACAATAATGGGTTATGATCATAAGAGTAATTCCCTCACTCCCTGCAAGTTTGTGTTTTGTTTTACGGCGGCTGCCCTCCGCTTCCGCCGCTTGCGCGCTGGGCGCCAGGGCCTGGAGCAGGATCGGGCTGGCGCATGCCAAGCTGGGCCAGGTGCGGGCGGATTTGGTCGTCCGATGCACGGGGGTCCCGAATTGTCTTTTTGGACGCTAGGAACCCGGTGAAGCAGCTGGTAAAGGAGGATTTCAGTTCAAAATGTCAAGGTCCCCAGCGAAAGGGTGCCCTTTCTCACCCACTTTTTTGGTCAGGAGGGTTCCCCTAAAGTAGACTGCAGCAAGAAGTTGGTAGCCTTATTCTAAGCTTTCTACTGGAGGACCTAGATGTGGAAACCCGGTGAAACAGCTGGTAAAGGCGGATCTTAGTGTTGCCAAACGTATTTGTTCACGTCTTTTTTGGGGTAGGGGGGGGGGTATTTCACACCAACTCCAAGCATGATCATGGGAGAGTACTGGCTGCAACCATTTGGGCCCCTCCGGCCGCCCGCATTGAAGTTTGGTACCTGGGTATCAAGGAGGTGTTTTAATTCTGGCGATTCGTGGGTAGACTCCTTTGATACCTAGCTCAGATTCGGTCCGCATCAATGGCTGTGGGGTTGGAAGTCAGGGGTTAACGTACCAGGTTTTGAAGGTCCTATGACTTTGGTAAGGAATCGTGAACAAAAAGAGGGCGTTCTATGGGAACTGCACTTAGGTGACTTGCTCTCAATCTTAGTTCTTGGACACTCAAGCTCGCCCTTCTTTTTATGGGAATCTTCGAGGTTTGGGGGTGCGGGTTGCCCGTTATTTCAGAAGCCACGCAAATCTCTTCGCAATGAGAAACCAGCGCCAAACGGCCGGAAGTGGGCCATGTTTGAAGGGTCTTCTGGGCTAACGTGGGGCTCACAATCCCTGAGTTCCCGGACTTAGACTGAATTCGATTTGTTGGGTTTGGAACCATTTCTTGTGCCCCGGAGCGAATCAATAACTTTCAAGTTCCTGAGACTCACCCTAACCAGGGCCAGGCCAATCACAGCCAAGTGAGTCGGGGTTGCACCCTGAACCCGGGCAACCAAAGTTGTTCCCAAGCGGATTGATAGGCGAAGGAGGCGGTGGAAGCCTACAAAAAGGCGAGGGGCGAGCGCGCGGCTTCGGTCCAACTCGCTTGGCCCGGTTTTCCGATAGGGATGCTAGGTCCCCCAGCGAAAGAGTGACCTGTCTCACAAGCTTTTTTGGTTGGGAGGGTTCCCCTACTAAAACAGACTACAGGAAGGGTGGGTACCCTTATTCTAAGCTCTCTACTGGAGGACCTAAAATAAACGAAATAATCCAAATTTGAACCTTTAGGGAGCTAAGGAGCCACTAGGAGTTCTGTAACATGGTGGGATGGACCATTCCATGTTGAACAGAGCCTGGGTAACATTGGACCCGATAAGCTTAACTGTGACCAAACCACCTAGGTTTTGTGGTTTTGGTCTCACTGGTCAAGAAGTGGTTTGCCAAAGGTCGGCTCTTCCTTCAGTGTCACTGGTCAGCTCGTGTTTTTGAGAGGTCGGCTCATCCTTCGGTTTGGCGAAGCTGCCGATTTCGGCGCGACAGACACTGGGCAGTTCAAATGCAATCCTTAATCCTTACCTTGGGTCACGCAAGGATTCGGTCGCCTTAGTGGCTTCCCAAAAGGGTTGTGGAAATCGGATTGGCCAAGCCTCCATGTTGAAGAGCCCAGAGAGAAAAAAATGATGGCTTTGTATCTTGGTTTCCCTGTCACACCAACCCAAAAGACCCCCCTCCCAGAAAAGGGGAAAAACAGCCATGAAGAAACCGCGTGAAACAAAAGACGGTCCGGACGTGGGGTTGCCCGAGACAGACGGGTGGAAACAGACAGGGCAACCTGCTTTAGTAGCTTTTACAGGGGGAATTCAAGGATTCAATGGTGATATTGTATAAGAAGCAACTTCGAAGCTCGCGAACATAATAGGATTATGTTCGCGCGATCTCAATGCTGCCGAGGCGCTCAAAGTAGAACATCAGGATGGTCATCGAGCAAAATCACTGGGAAAACAGATTTTTTTTCAACACTAACTTGTTATTCAGTGCATTGGAAACGTCACAAAACACTGCGAGGGCTCATGCGAAATGGGCGCGGCTTTGGAATCACTGCACAAAAAACAGTACAAATCCAAGTCCCCTGCAAGTTGACAAAGTAAGAGTCGTTTTTTTTTTTTGGCATGCTTCATGAACATCATCGCCGAGATTATTGGATCTAGAAGCCCAGCGCGGCAGCACTCTTGCATTTTCATGCGATTTTCAATGCACTTGCTCGGAGGTGAGCCCTGAGAAAGAGGCCATCGCCAAGGCAAAAAGATTTGACCCTGAACGAACCAGGCGTCAGCGCGGAAATCAAGCAACACCGACAGCCCCATCCTGGTCACGCACTGGGCGGAGTGTCGCACAGATTCAGCAGCGCGCCCATGGTCACGGTGGTTGCGTGAACGAAGCAGGAGCCGACTAGTCGGCAAAAAAAGGCCGCCGGGTGCATGCGCGATCAAATGGCACAGTCATGCGTGGCCGAAACTTGTGTTGAGTGGGGTCACTTGGGCGGGGGTGCTTACCATGTGTTGGGTGGGATCACTTGGGCGGGGGTGCTTACCTTGTGTTGGGTGGGATCACTTGGGCGGGGGTGCTTACCATGTCTTGTGTGGGATCACTTGGGCGGGGGTGCTTACCACGTGTTGTGGGACAAAAGAACAAAACAACACAAAACACCAAACAATCGGGGAAACACACAACACCTTTGAAGCAAAACCCCCACGCGAAACAAAACAATCAAAGCCAACAACAAGCAATTGGAGAAGCCGAACAGCCCAGAGAGAACAACAAAAAAAAACACTAAAAAAAACAACAACAAAAACGGAAACAAACAGAGACCCAACCCCCCCCCCCGAGCAAAAAAAAATAAAACGCCGACCGATTCGAGGCGGTGACCTTCGATCCCTCCAGCGGCAACGTGGATGCCTTGGCCTCCGTCACGCGGCAGGCCACGGACGGCTCGGACGGCTCGGCCGGTGGGACCCGTGGGACGAAGCCTAGGGGTCCACAAGTTGCCCAAGTGGAGAGGTGGACTAGGTTTCTTGGGGAGGGTTCCGCGACTAGAATAGACTGCAGAAAAAAGTTGGCACCAACTTATTCTAACCTCTGTTCTGGAGGAGCTGGACTAGGTCCTCTTGGTACCAACTTTTTTCAAACATAGGTGTCCTCTTAGGGGAAATAGATGGGTTTCCCTGGTAGGTGAGATTTTTCCCACCTAACCTGGAACCTGACGTTTTGGGGTCCTGGTTTTTTAGCATTTTCCTTTTGAAGGGACCCAACGTCAGGTTCCATGTAAAAAAGGGTGGGAGGGGAGGTGTTATTTTGGACAAGAAACCTCTGACCCTCCTGCTCCAGATACTTTGTTTGTGTGTTTTTGTGTGTTTTGTTGGTTTTCTGCAAGAATGTTTGTTGTTGAACAATCTTTTTTTGAGGGGATTTTTGTTTGAACTGCGTTTTAACATATCCTAAACGTGGGTGTCAGGTGAAGGACCTCGACTTCGGGAGATTGCACTTTCCCCAGTTTGTGAACAGGGTTTTAAGCCTGGCCTGGATGCGTCTGAAGAGGTATGGTCCCATTGTTTGAAATCGACGAAGAAACCCGGACTGCCATTGGATGCCATCACGCTCGAGCCTTAAAACATGACTTGTGGAGAGGCAGAGCGCCTCCTAATGACCAGTTCCATTGGTCCATGGTTCCTTTCCTGAAGACTAGATCCACGGAACAGAGGATTTTGGGACAAGAACTGGAGAATCCACCGTCCCTCAAGGAGTTGATCTTGCAAGAGACATGCCACGGGGAGCAGGTTCATGCAGGTTGGTGGTTGAGTTTAGCCCCAAGAGTCTTGTGAATCGCACTCCACTTAAGGGCGCTCTTGTCGCGTTTCCCTCGGATCTTTACCACAATGGGCGTGATCATGAGGAACCGCACTCTGATTTCCCCCAAAGGAGACGCGACGAGCAACACATGATCACAGTGCCTGAGGTCTTCTCACTGGGGCACTTGGAGTGGTAGGTCAAAGGCCCTTGAGCGGTAGGTGGGTCGGGGTCACTCTTCGGGGGAGCTTCGATCTCGCTTGCGAATGTGTGGAGTGGTAGGTCAAAGCGATAACTCTAGCATGAACGTGGCTAAATGCTTGGCGTCTCCGAGGCTTTGCTTGGAAGCGGAATGCAAAGAGCCCATGGCACGGTCGCCTGCTGTGAGGGGCATGCGGGTGTGGGTCAAAATAGGGATTTGGACCGCCCAAACCGGAAACAAGGAGATGCGCTCACACGCATTTTTACATCTATGTACAGATAGATACATGTATATGTAAACATATACGCACATGCTACGCCCCCTCCCCAGGTGTCCACTTTGTGTTTTTTTTTTGACGAGTACGTCAGGCTGCAGTGTTTTGAGTCTTTTCGCAGCAGATTATTTTGCCGAGGTGTGGCTCGCAATCCGTTATTTGCTCTAGCCGGACAGAGAGCACCCCATAGCCATGCTACAACAAGCCTTTGATTTGGCTCTGGGTTGCCTGGGTGTGTTGCTGGTCTTTGACAACACTAAGCTGTAACCCGGGCGCACAATGACCATGGCCTAACCGATGGTAAAATCAGGTTTCGCAAGTGGATTGCACCAGCTTTGGGGGTTTAAGGGTCCAAGTACTCGGTGTTTCGAACGGGAACCCCGGATTCATCAACTTGGTATTAAGAGGGGGCAGGGAGTCCAGTAAATCCTTCTAAAACAGACCCTCGCTAGCCATAAACCAGGGGCTTGTCATCCAGGCTTCCCAGTGAAAACATCCATCCGCCAGTTGTACGGGCCGGATAGCAACCTGGCACACGCGGAGAAGGAGAGCGGCAACTTGGCCCCAGGCCCCAGCCAGCAGAGGCGAGAGAGGAGAGCGGAGGCCACAGTGGAGTGGTTTGGAGCGGAGCGGCTCGAGCGGCAGGGTTGCCAGAAGGGCTCCGGGGCTTGGTTTACGCAGGCAAGGTGGGAGCTATGGGAACGGCTCTGGAGTGGTTTGGAGCGGCTCGGGGTTTTCAAAAAGGCTTCCGGGGCATGGTTTACTTCCTCTTGAGGTGTCTCAGAATGGTTGACCCCTTTTTGGATGGCTTTAAACCAATGGACTCCCTCCCCCCCCCCCCAGGGGTCCATTGGTTTGAGAAACACGAAAAAAAACACCTGATGTTCACTATGTTCAAGGGGAACCAGAAGGAAACCGGTTGTTTGCAGGGGTCGCATTCCGATTTCGGGGTTGGAGGCAAACAGGTTTAGGCAAAGCTTTAAAAAGAATGCGTTTGAACAGCAATTGTTTGAACGTGCTTAAACAAGGGATTCACAAGTTTTGTTAGTACAAAACAGGCCCAGCAAGACATATTGTACATGGTTTTGGGTTGATGTCTTTCACACCAGGGTTAGTATGACTCTTTGTTTCTCTTTTAAGTATTATACTCATGCACGGAAGAGCCATGAGCTTTATCCACATCACTTTCAGGTTCACGGACAAGAATCTGCAAAGGGCCTTTCTATTTTAAAACTTGCCGGCACTTTCCTTGTTTATCCGCAGTTGCCATTTGCAAACGAGCTTGCGACCTCACTCCTGACAATCCAGCTGTCCAGTCCCCTTTTCAGAGCCTTGTTCAATGTCCCCAAGCGGTTGTTTCTTGGGTTCTAAATGTTTGGCGTTCTTTCAATTTCCTGTTGAACCTTACCGAAGTTCGACAACATTGACACACGTCGGCGCCCCGTTTGGTTTGAAGTTCCAGCACTTTTGCAGGCGTCGTTTCTTCAGCAGATCATTTTGTTCCACCCATGTATATCCCTATACCCCTCATGCCCCTGTGCTTTTTTCATGCCCATATCCTTATATAACGCTACCTTGGTTTAATCTTATGTACCTGGAACCCCAAGTAGCTGTTTGTTTCCAGCCACTTTACCCACTAGTACCGAACCCCTCCACCCCGGCTTCCCCAACCCAGCGCGTCTTACTGAGAGCGTTTTATTGCCTCGATCTGAGGCCATGCGAGGGCACGAGATGGGCCTGGCGGTGGCATGCTACACCGTGGGCCTCATGTTAGTGCCCGTCGAGGCCGAGCCGCCTGTCGAGCCAAGTGGTCGACAGGGGGGGGGGCCTTTTTGTTGGCCTGGTTGAAAGGCTAGGTCCCCCAGTAGTGCCCTTTCTTCACAAACTGTTGGGTTGGGAGGGTTCCCCTACTAAAATAGACTACGGAAAAAGGGTACCCGTATTCTAACCTGTCTACTGAAGGACCTAGAAGGGAAACCATAAGCAAACCTCTCATTTCAGAACATTTCCAGGGCTTGGTTGCGATCGGAGCCAAGGTAGACCACAACTCAGGGGTTTCTGTCAAAGGGCCTGCAACCTGCGTGTGTCTTGGGTTGATAAGAACGAAGCGAACGAAGTCTGGTGGGTGGACTAAAAACGTGAAGTCGGGTGACGGTTCTTGTCACAGAGATACAGTCGATACTTTCACGACCGGGTGATGAGCACGTTCTACACGAAGGAGTATGTCGGTTCCGTCTTGGCACGGAACATGTTCATGCTGGATGAGCAATTGGAGCATCGTGGGCCTCGTTCGCCGCTTCTCGGCACACGATCAGATGAGCGGACACGGGCTTGCAGCTTCAATGGTCGGAGCGAACACGAAGTCACGGAACGTGGGCTCTGCCCGCTCGCATGCCAGCACGTGATGCCGCATACAGCCGCATGGGATCAGCTGAAGAAAGTCTTGTGAGGCCGACAGGTCGGTTCTATTGACGGGGCCCGGTTGCTTGGCCTCAGCGCTGAGAGCCGCAACGTACTTGGATGATGTGCTGCCAAGGAGTTGTTTTGCGGCGTTAGCCACACGAACAGAGTTAACTCCAGTGAACGGGGGATTATGTTGTGGGGTACAACCTAAGCCAGAACACCCGCTGTGGGTCCCGTGGCGGAGCCGCAAACACCTCTGCCAGACGAACCTGCACCCCGCAGGTTTTTGTAGGTCTCAGTGTTTCAGCGGGAAGCCACATCTGGAGTCAGAACAGCCCATCCCAAAATCTTATGCGGAATTAAAACCAAATAAGGATGCTGCGGGCCTCAAGATGACCCAACCACCTTTGGGTAGAAAGTGTATGAAGGTTTCCTATTGGTTTACCAGGGGCCCAAGGGATGGTCCACCTTGCCCAGAGAAATAGTCATCTCATGCACCGGATTGGGGGAACTAAAGGACATATTCCATCAGTTTCTTGGACACCCAACATTTCAGGTTAAAACCCGCACACGGGCTTTCATCTTGCATTTTGGCCCCAAAAATTGGTGACCAATGGTGCAGAGCCTGGCCCTTCTGATGCTTGCCACTTGCAAGCAGATCGAGTTCCTTAAGTGAGGAGAGTCCGCAGTCCCCTTGCCACACTCAGCTGCAGGAGTTTCCTTTCCGCCCTGTTGGACAGGAGAATCGGTTCCTTGGAAAACCACTTGAGACCATAGGTGACCTTTTGGAGAAACAAAAACGTCATGGGCTTCCCTGCTAAATGGAAGGCATAAAACCAATCTTTAAACCAGTGGCTTGCCCATCTATTTCTTGAAGCAAACACCATGGTTTTGGGTCCTTTTGGGGGGGGGGTACCGGTTAGGCCCATGTTCACACGAGATCTGGAGCCTCGCGTCAGCTCCCCAATTTCGAATTTGAGGATTCCAAATTCTGCGGGCTCCAAATTTGGGTTTAAGGGCAGTTTGAGGGTCCACTTGCTTTTGATCCGTAGTTTGGATGGCAGTTGTTCGGATTTGAAATTTGGACCCGTCTTGTTCAGGCCTCTTTACCAATCCAAGCCACCAATCAGAGTGAGCCCCATTTACCCTCAACAAGAACAGGGTGTTCAAACCCTTAGTTCCCAGCAATCCAAACCATCCATGAAGGATAACCCAAAAAGCAGTGAATAATAAAAGCCATATGCATGAATTGGTGTTGTACTTGGCTCCCGACTTGCCTCCGTACTCTATGATGTTTTACCTTTTCTGAACTCTCTGACATGTTTCCAAATAATATAGACTGAATATGGGGGGGGGGGGGGGTCTTCTTTTCTGAACTCTCTGTTTCAAAAGAATAGACTGAATATGGGGGGGTGTCTTTTGTCGGGTACGCCTTTTTTTTGTTTTTAACGGCAACTAGGATCACTCCCAAACAAAAACAGAAGAGCCACGCATACTGTGGATGGTTGCAAAATCCATTTCGCACCACTTCGAAACCATGGTTGAAACCATTGCTTGCTGGTATTTGCGGGGGAATCATCATTCCAGGGATTCTGTGCAGGATTTTGTCCATCCACAGTATGGAACAGACTCCGGACGCCAAAGTGGGGTCGCGAGGCGATCGCTAGCGTCCCTGACGGCGTGCCGCCAGAGGATGAACATGCGCTGTTGAGGTGAGGCAAATCGCTCTGGGCCAATGAGGGTGGGTCTCATGAAACATGGTATGAACCTTCCTGGAAAAGCCGGAGGATATTGCCATGTATATGATATTGTCAAAGCAGAGGGATTCGGTTCTCTCTAAACCAGCCCCAACAGGGTACCGAGCCGCAAAAACAACGCACACTTACATCGTATAATTATATATATACATGTATATATATATATATACAAGCACACGTATCCGGGGTGCTAATGTTCTGAGTTGCCGGACTTTAGTCACTTCTTGGGTTTGGACCATTTGTGTGCCAAGCAGAAAGTTTATGTGTTTTTTGCTTCTTAATTATTTAGTTGAATTAATTGAATATTCATTCAGTTACTCCCTCGCTCGCACGCACGCACGCTCACTCACTCACTCACTCACTCACTCACTCACTCACTCACTCACTCACTCACTCACTCACTCACTCACTCACTCACTCACTCACTCACTCACTCATTTGTTCGTTAGCTCGTTCCTTGGATCGTTCGTGTGTTTGTTTGTTGTCTTGCCGGGTTGCTTGCTTGCTTGCTTGTTTGTTTGTTTGTTGGTTGGTTGGTTGGTTTGTTCGTTCGTTCAGTCGTTCCTTCATCCATTCACGCAGCCATGCATCAATGCATCCATCCATCCATCCATCCATCCATCCATCCACCCACCCACCCACCCAGCCAGCCAGCCAGCCAGCCAGCCAGCCAGCCAGCCTTCCATCCATTTATCCATCCATCCATCCATCCATCCATCCATTTATCCATCCATCCATCCATCCATCCATCCATCAATCCATCCATCCATCCATCCATCCATCCATCCATCCATCCATCCATCCATCCATCCATCCATCCATCCATCCATCCATCCATCCATCCATCCATCCTTTCATGTAATTTTATTTAATGTCAGTTCATGTCATTTCATGTCATGTCATGTCATGCCATGCGTGTATTTCATTTGTGTCATCAATTTCCTAAGACAAGTGTGGAGTTGGTCCCTCAGTTTTCAGGGGCAAAACTGAGCTTGGTAAACCATTGCGATTCGTGTACCTGGGCCCCTCCAAGTTATGAACAATGGCCTCAAAAGGATGGTGTCCAGGTACTTTCAATCGGCGGTTTGGGCTGGGGATTTGTAGCTTTGGCCTCCAAATACATCCAACCACCAACAACCCCAACAAATAATCCCCTTTCTTCTTTCTTGCTTGCTTGCTCGCTTGCTTGCTCGCTCGCTCGCTTGCTTGCTTTTCTTGATGTTTTGGGACGGGCGCAGCTTGAACATCTACCCGGTCCACAAAAGGCTGATCCGTATTTTGAGGGTCCCCGCCTTTTCTCCTTCGGGGGCTTTCCACGACCAACAAGAGCCGCCCATATCATTCTAGGTCCCCAGTAGTGCCCTTTCTCACCAACTTGCTGGTCCTACTAAAATAGACAACACCTTAAAAAATGGTACCAACATATTCTAAGCTCTCAAATCTGGAGGGCCTAGCTTTCCCCCAAGACCAACAAGAGCCGCCCAGACCAACTTGGTAGCTACCAGTCAGCCCGGAGCTGCAGATTCGCAGGTCGGTGCTCTTTTCCAACCGAGCCTCGGCTTTCTGCGGGGCACTCGAGGGCTATGCCGGGGTTGGGTTCCAGTCGTTCAGTGGAGCACCCCATGAAACCGCCTTTTCCTGGGGAGGACTTCAAGGATCAAGATTGGGGGTGTGGTTGGGGGGGTCGTAGGAGAAGCTCTGATTTTAGTGGGCCTACTTTTTGGGATAGTTTCAGGGTTCAGGCGCCCTTTTGGTTGGCCCATTCTTGGACCAGTGCTTCAATGCTGGGATCCTATTTGCTTCAATCTTTTTTTGGGGTGGCCCTCCACATTCCAACAGCAAGCAACAATTCAAAAACCGTGCGCCTCAGATCCGTCATGCTTTCAAATTGACCGTCCAAAAGAAAGCTATCATGATTTTGTGCCTCAGGATTCTAATGACGGACTTCCTAAACTTGCTGAATCTCAGTAGAGGATCAACAGGCGTTTTGGAAATGAACCTAGGGAATTCCTTAAAGGAAGCTACAAGGGGGTGGTTCATATGAGTCGCGCTCTTATTCCCTGCTGAGAACACGCAAAGAGAAAAGGCAGCCGTGCAAGCAGCACTGCCGTGGGCCGGTTCGGCTCTCACGGCTCCGAGGCCGTCTGAAGGATTGGCAGAGCGCCAGAGCCGATGCGGAGCCAGGGCCTGAGCCGTCCACTCACAGATGCACGCCGCAGGGGTTTCAAAGGTTCCCAAAGGGCCCCGGGTTCCCCCATGTTCTGCCCAGGTGGTGGGCTCGCTTGGGTAGGGGACCCAGTTCTTACTTTAGGTTCTGTTGCGGAAGATGACAGAAAGCGACTTGGAAATCGCATTTCTGAAGCGGCCCAGGCCTTTTCATTCCCTGCACCCAATTTCCCGGCCTCAGTTTTCGAACTGACTTGGGGTGCTGCTTACACCAAATTCTCGCGAAATGGTTTTGGGCGTGACTTTTCAGCTCTTCCTAAACGAAGTCCTCTCAATGCAAGGGATGCTTCCATTTGCTGAAGAATATGTGTTTTTATGTTTTATTATTATTTTCCCTTGTTGGTTTCAAAAGGAATTTATCACTGGAAATATGTTTGATTTTTCCCCCCAGGGGTCTTAACCAAATGGAAGGATAGAGATCGAGGAGATGCGGAGGATGCTGCGGGCCCACTGCACTTAGCGCCAGATCCGCCTCCCATTAAAGCTCTTGGAGGAGAGCTGGCTGGGGAAGGAGCCAGTGCGCATAGGTGTCCTTTTCAGGTTTGGTTAGAACTAGATGGCCGTGGGTCAACACCACTGGTACCATTTTGGGCTGGGTGAATTCACCGCCCATTTTATATAGTCTATTCTAGTGTTGATTGGGATGTTCGCTGGGGGTACGGGATTTTGACCCATGGCCAGATGTCACTGGTTCAGCTTTTTGTTTTGTTCCATTTGCCAGGGCGATCTAGTTTACCAGAAGGACACCTATGCCAGCGCGCGGCACCTTTGAACTTTGGTCCCATTCACAGCACCTCGCAGCCAGTCTCGGAGCTTTGGGCGTGGACACCCCTGTCAACCAACAGCATGGCTGGCACCTTCCCGCCCAGAAGCTCGTGCCAACGTCTTATAGGGGGCGATCTGAGCGCCTTATTTCGAGCCTAGCGGTTTGTCGGGTTCCGTTTTGGCACGTCGGAATGTGACGTTTTGTCAAGGATGGTTTGGACCTCTGTTCTCTTTGGACTTTGGACAACTCTGATGGTTCGGCAGTTGCGAGCTGGCCAGCTCGCAGTGGATGGACGAAATCCAGCACCAGTTGATAGGTGGTTTGTCCATTTGTTCATAGTTGTTTTCTTTCTTCTCCATCTCATGGGTGTGTCGGATCCGCTCGGCACAGAAAGACGTTTGTCCCAAGCTGTTGGTCCATATTTCCCAGATTGAATTGGGTTTCTCAAAGCTGGTGGTGCTCAAAAGGTTCCCAATTTGGGGAGTCCCCAAGCCCGCCAGGGCAATTGTTCTTTGGGCACCGCAAGCTTGAGGAGTTCCTTCGGGGCTCCTGAGTTCGGGCGAGCTGATTCCTGCAAGATCCTTCCTCTTGCGGTCTTTCGGGGTATGACGGGCAGAACTAAACACCGGGCTCTTTTGCGTGTGACGGCGGCTGAAGTCTTGTCTAGGTGCCCACTTTGAGTTTGTTTTAGGGGTCCTAGGGGGGTAAACCGCCAGGCCCGGTTCAAAGTGGCCTTGGACAGGGAGGTGCAACAAATACAACAACCCACCCTTCGGGGGGATAATGTCAGAAAAAGGGCACATCCATATGTGTCATATTTTTTCTGTTGCCGGGCCATACGTTTTGTGTGGCTTCATTTTTCCCCACTCCCGAGATACTCAAACAATTCGCCACTTATGGGGTTTGGACCATTGTGGCGAACAAGTTTAGACTCTGTTTAAAGGTAATAACATCAATGAAGCTGTTGTGGAGCCAATAAAGAACAAAACACTTTTCCAAAGACTAAAAACATGGTTCCTGGGGCGATCAAGTTTAGACTCCGTTTGCCCACGGACGCGAGTTGGTTCCTCGGTTGTTGCGAACCCCGAGCTCCTAGGGCAGCGGTGGAGAAGAAGAACGATTTCGTGAAAGCCGGCGCCTTGCATTGGCGTTGGCTCCGTCGGACAACGGGGAAGCCAAGAGGTTGCTGAAACAAGGGGTTGTTAAGCCATGTTTAAACCGAACGCAACACGCTCGGACAGCCAGGGGCTTAGCGTTTCTACCAAAGACTGAGGCCCGCAACCGGCTGGGCACAGCTCTGCTGGCGGGCGGCCAAGTGGAGCAGGCCAGGGTCTCAACGAATGGATGGGCCTGCAGGTGTGTCTCAAATACGTGGGACCTCCAAGGTGGACAGGTCTTCCTGAAACGCAACCAGATTTCAAAAACTCACCTCTGAAAAAGACACAACTTTTCGTAACTTTTTGGGTAACCTGGGCTATATGTCTGTAAAAGATGAGAACTTCCCCAAACCTTGGAGTTTTAAGGGGTAAGAAAAGACACCCACAGCCAAAGCTCACCGCTCGTCATGAGGGGCCTTGTCTGGGGAGTCGCGAACTCTGCTTGGAATTGCTGTAATTTGCCCAGTTGGGGAAATGCAACCCCGCAGCGGGATGGAAAACCTTTCGAGTACCCCAAAAGGGTACCAACTCAACAATGAGCCTTTTATCGAATTGTCGGAACACCAGTTCAAAAGCGTGTCCAGAGATAGCTGATTGGCATGCCTTCCGCTACCAGCTGTACCAAAGGGAGACTTGTCCGCGGCCCTGCAGGTTGATGCGAGGATTTCTTTGGGCTATCCCAATGTTCATTGTGGCGATTCCTTTCGTCTTTTTGTTTCAGAGGGGGTTTCCAGTGAGAATCAAATTTTGTGTGTGTGTGTGTGTTTTTTTGGGGGGGAGACGGTGTCCAGTGAACATCTACCCAACCAAAGGGCGCCCTTTTGGTTCTATCGCTGGGCTTCTGAGGGCTCCGGGTTCTATCGCAAAGCTGGCCCCGAGCCCAAAAAAAAATCCACACCGTCCGAGTACGATCCAGGCCTAAGGAGCACAAGCTGGGCCTTGGCTTTTGCCAGTCCCGTTTTCAACGGTTGGAGCCGAACAACTAAGAAAGAAGCACAGATGATCATTTTCTCAACCAGATCTGTTGCTACCGGTCAAGCGGACCGGTGAATTCAGTGCCCGGCACTTGTTTTCGAATTCTACAGAAGAACAGACGGAAATTCAAAACCACTGAGTCAAGTTGGGAGTCTCCTTTGAGGCCCACGTTGATGGGTTCCACGTTAGGGAATTTCACACTCGGGTTTGCCTCTTTTGTGTGAGGAAATCTTGAACAAGAACTAGCTGTTCAAAACCTACTCCCCAAGGAGTAGACAGATTGCGCGGTTTACGGGTTCGATTGTGCGGCTTGCGGTTTTGCGGAGCACGGACTTTTCATGCTCCAACATTTAGTTTTGACCCAAGGTTTGCAGCCCGGATTCGGATTAAGAAGATTACCTTAACCAAAACAAGGATTCAGCGGATTGCGGGTATTGCGGGGACTTTGAACATGCGAGAAACCGAAGGAGTGATGAAGGCGGTTGCCAGCTGCGAACCTTGGGTTCCACCAGACCCGATTCAGGCGCCAAGTTGAATCCTAAAGGAGGATGGGCTGGGCCAAGGGTCCGTTACATGACCATCGGTTGGAGAATCTGAGATATGCCTCGTCTGGAAAAAGCCCATGTTCGTTCGGGGGGGCCTAAAGGCTTGGAAGATGTTCATCCTTCGCGCATGCTTCGACTGGTTGTCAATCCGCCCCACCACCCCACCCAGCCCACCCACCCCACAACCCACAACCCACAACCCACAACCCACAACCCACAACCCACCCCTCACCCCCCACCCGCCCCTTTCGATCCGAATTGAAAAAATCCGCCAGGCCTACGCCCACTTCGCGCACGCCTTGAAGCTGGAGTCCAACAATACCGCAGCCTTGAAGGGCCGCCAGGCCCAAAAATCGGAAGGTCAAGGGGGGCTCAAGCGCTCCCTGGACGTGTGTCGTCTTTTTCGGGGGACGCCCCCCCCCCTAAATATGTATATATATATATAATGTTCTATATAACATATATTGTAAACTAAACGGTAATTTTTGCTGTTGGCTTCCCTTTCAAAAGCGACAGAAAGGGGGTACACGCAAATAAAAGGCACACCCACCTGGAGGTTGCCGGACCTTTTTTCGGACTACAATCGACTGGTAGGCGATAGAATAGCCCTGCTTTTGCGGTTTTTGGTTTGGTGGGTGCGTGTTTGGTCACGTGGGCTAGAGTAATCCGACACACGAGAATCGCTGGACTTTATACACACGAGAGGTGCTGAACTTTATACTTTTTGGGCGAGGACCATTTTGGTGGTAAACAAACAGTTTGGAATGGTTTGACCAGTTCTCTCAACTCAGCGAGGATTGCCGGGATGTTAAAGTCTAGGTTTGGGGTTTAGGCTGCACCCCTTGATGGGCCTAACCTCAGATTGTGCCCCGACCTTGTCAAAGAGGTGACCCCATGCCAACTGGTTTCTTGCTGGCTCCCAGCCATCCGGTTCCAAAGCCTTTTAGCTTTTGAGTGTTTCGTGGCAGTTTTCATTTGGGTATGGGTCAAAATTGTCCAGGGGACCACAGGTTTTAGTCATTGTTTCCATTTTCCAGGCTGCCATTTTGGGGTTATCCTATTTTTGACCCACAGCCATGTAACCCACTAAAAGTTAGTCACTTTTAGCGGATCTGAAAGCACGGGCAGCCCGGGCTTTTGGTCCCTTCCCTTCTTAAAAGAAGCCGAAATCTTCGCGCAAGATCCCCAAAAGGGCGAGGACCCTGGGCGCATCGATTCCGGAATGGAGTAGAAGTAAGGGCCCAAGTGAAGAAGAATGGGGCCGACTTTCAGACCAAATCAAGTCGTCAACAGGGAAGACTGTGTTCTTCCATTTGGTCAAGAATATATTTGTTTTATTTTTATTTTCCCTTGTTGGTTTTCAAGGGGATCGATTTCACGACTGGAATTATTCCCATTTTTTCCAGGGGACGCAAACGCAAATGGAGATATTGTGTGTGTGTGTGTTCAATTATAGCCCCTTCTCGATCAAGCAGCGGGTTGGATGTCATCGACTCGGGACCTTTGATTGTGTCTCAGGACCCACACTCAGTGTTTCTTCCGCTCCCGCGAACAGTATAACCAGAGGCAGTGCAGCAGGGGGGTCGGTTCGGCGTGGAGCAAGATGTCTTTGAGAGTCTAAGGAAGGGAGCAGAGTGCGTGTGTGGTCGAATAGGGCTCACAAAACTCCAATGACTCCCAATGGCAAGCAGAAGAACTCCTGTCCTTTGCATTTTGGATTTGCAGGGCTGAAGCCTTTTTCCACAATTTGTTTGGGCACCGCAACGCCTTGTTGCTTGGCTTTTGGGACTGAATTTCCCATAAAGTCCTTGCTGAGCCTAGTCAAAGAATGCTTCTCCGCTGCACTTTGGCTCTTTTTGGGGCCTGGAAGCAGTCCCGACCTGCCTTTCGGAGGTGACGATGCTTGTACATTTATCTAAGAATTGCCAATCGGGAACCACCTCAAAGCTGCCACGATCTCCCGCGATCTCCACCGAAGGGTCGTCCATTAACAGTCACACCCAATGCCAGGCGTGCATCAGCATCCTGCCCCTTTGGCGCTCAGTGCCTGCGCGGCGAAGGTTCCGCAAGATCCCCAGGCTTTCTGCGCAAGCGTGCCTGCCCTTCCGGGGTTTTGGGAATGAACCTGGGGTTTACCTCTTAAAGGAAACCCCACAGTGCATTGTTGAAAAAGGGGTCATGCCCTCATTTGCTGAGAGCCAGCGAGACCATGTTGTTTGGAATCTTTGTCGAAGTTATGACGCATCTTACAGGTTCACGAAATCTGGCCAGAATCAAACATCATCATCTTCGGCGGGGGCGAAAGCGGAGGTAGACCTGCGAAGGGCGGCTTTCGGTGTTGTCTTTTTACCACCAACCCAGTGGACAAGCGAGAGGACCCGAAAGACATGCATTCTGAATCTCAATGCCTTTTTGCGGCATCCCCATTGCATGAGTCCGTCTATGAACCCATGGCCCTGCTACACCCCTTTGAAGATCACCTTGGCGTGGGTTTTTTCTTCATCCCGAGCATTTGTGAGGTGGGATCCATGGTCAACAGGGATCCATGGTCAAAAGACCTTAGGGGCTGGCGGCACCAGCCTGGGGAGTTTAGACAAACGAGGTTCCCCTCCCCCCAACTAACATTTCATCTATGGGAGGGTACCTGGAAGATCAATGTCCTTCCCCGGAAATACTTCCCCCGCTTTTTTTATTTTACTTTTTTGCTTTTTTGGGGAGTTCCCCTTGTTTTCCACTACCAGGCAAAACATATCATACATTTTTTTGGCTGGGGTCCGAGTTCCAGCCAAGTTCCTCAAGGGGCCCTCAGGGAGGCTAGGTCCCCCAGTAGCCCCCTTTTACCCTGTTTTGGGGGTTCCCCTACTGAAATAGACTACAGAAGAAAGGGTACCCTTATTCTAACCCCTCTACTGGAGGACCTAGGCGGGTTTGCAATTCCCGGCTTTTTTCTCCCTCTTTCAGGAGCGTTCCTCTTTGGGGTTCTTCTTTCCTCTTTTGGCGGGTTCCTCTTTGTGGGGGGGGGGATAGACATATTTTAGGATGGACATGCATGTTGTTTGGTTACTTGGCGCTCCTTTTCAAAAATTCCGGGCTTGATGACCAAAGACCCAGGAGCGTTCCTCTTTGGGGTTCCTCTTTGGTTTCCTCTTTTGACGGGTTCCTCTTTTGACGGGTTCCTCTTTACAGGGGAAAGGTAGACAGATTTTAGGATGGACATGCATGTTGTTTGGTTACTTGGCATTCCTTTTCAAAAAATCCAGGCTTGACCAAAGACCCAGGGGGCGTTCCTCTTTGGTTTCCTCTTTTGACGGGTTCCTCTTTTGACGGGTTCCTCTTTACAGGGGGGGGTAGACATATTTTAGGATGGACATCCATGTTGTTTGGTTACTTGGCATTCCTTTTCAAAAGATCCAGGCTTGACCAAAGACCCAGGGGGCGTTCCTCTTTGGTTTCCTCTTTTGACGGGTTCCTCTTTTGACGGGTTCCTCATTTGACGGGTTCCTCTTTACAGGGGGGTAGACATATTTTAGGATGGACATCCATTGGTTACTTGGCATTCCTTTTCAAAAAATCCAGGCTTGACCAAAGACCCAGGGGGCGTTCCTCTTTGGGGTTCCTCTTTGTTTTCCTTTTTTGACGGGTTCCTCTTTGGGGGGCGCGTAATGGCGCGTATTTGTCGGTTTTTGTTCCCCGTGTGGTTCCTTTCAGTCCGACAACAAATTCCCAGGCGAGCGCTTCGGGGTGGACCTTTGGCGGCCTAAGGGCACCACCAAGGCGTTCCGATTTGGACGGCTGGGTGTTGGGTGGGCCGTGCCCAACTGGCATTGGAGGATCCCCCGGTCAAAACGGCTACAAGAACTGGATTCTTAAGGACAGGCTGCGATGGCAAATACTCAAACAACTTTGGGGTGTTGGGCCGTGTCTCGTTTTGAGCCTGCTGTTCTTCCATTTGCCTAAGGGAATCTATCACTACTGGAAGTATTCTTGTGGACTTACTCAAATGGATGGCTCGTGAGGGGGGAAAAAACCAAAAAGAGATCCAATGCCAGTTTAGGGGGGTCCCCTACAAAAAGAAACGCGCAATGGATTCTTGAATGTGTCCTGAAATAGGGGACCCGGCCCAAAATTGCATTTGTTATCCGCTTGTGATCCTGTTCTGATTTCAGATTGGTGTATCCCTGGTCGGACATGACAGTTGCCACTCGGATCGAGATGTGAACGCAAAGTGGGTATGGGTCAAAATCAAACCACTCGGGAACCGCAGGTTTTGAGTCTACTTTTACACTTCCCAGGGTTCCATTCTGGGTACCTATTTTGACCCACAGCCAAGTGACTTGGTGAATTGCAATTCGCTATGAGGTGATTTGAACCCACGGTACCCCCACAACACCTGCAAACCAACCACCAATGGAGGCCACCAATCGGTTTAGAGCTCTAAACCGGCAAAATGGGAAAGGTCCAGTATTCTAGGGTTTGATTCCTTTTTCACAACCGGCACAGTCGCCCGGCAATGCGAATGCTGTGTCTCGGGTGCGTTAGGTTGTTTGGGGCATATCATGTGTGGGTGATTATTCCATGGGGGTTGATTCCCCGTTCTTTTCAACCATGGTTCTTTTCACCATTTGGCCGCTTTCCTTAGGTTTCTTGTTTTTGTTTTTAGAAAGATCGGGATCCCTGGGTTCAGAATGGAAATGGAGGGTAGCCCTAGAAGTATGGAAGCCTTCCTCTGCACTTCGCGCAATGATGGCACAACTCCTTCATCCTGGTGTTCCCCTTGTCCAAATACAGGGCCTTAATCTTGGGGAGTGAAAAATAAAGGCCCCCCCCCTCCCCCCTCCCCCCTCAAACAAAATGGGGGGGGGGTCAATAGAGGAAACCCTAAAAACAAAATGAGGGTCAGACCGGGTCTTCCCTAAGTAGTATTCCAGTAAGTATTGGTTAGTATTGGTTTAGTATTGGTTTAGTATTCTTGCTGACTGGCTTAGTACTGCTTAGAATTGGTTTAGTATTGGTTTAGTATTCTTGCTGACTGGCTTAGTACTGCTTAGAATTGGTTTAGTATTGGTTTAGTATTCTTGCTGACTGGCTTAGTACTGCTTAGAATTGGTTTAGTATTCTGGTTGACTGGCTTAGTACTGTTTAGAATTGGTTTAGTATTGGTTTAGTATTCCCTGGCCCCAGTCCTAAAAAAACTTTTCTCAATTAACTCCCCTTAAACAAATCTCATTATTGGCTTCCTGGGTGTTCCCTGTACTACCCCCTTGAAAATTTGGCAGGGTGCAACTTTTAGTAAGGGTTGTCATAAAGAATTTGGCTGTTGGGGACCTCAGTTAAACTTCCTTTTCAGGGACTTCAATCATCATCTCCTTGTTGGTGGTGGTGGTATGTTGGGGGGGGGCGGGCGGGGCAGAGAGAGAGAGGAGTTGCACTGAACTAGGGATTAATTATCAAACTTTTTTTGGGGGGAGCATTTTTCCGGATTTTTTGCCCCTCACAAAAACTTGTGTGTATTAACTCCCCCTCTTGCTTTTCAGGGGTGTGAATAATTTTGGGTTTCTTTTTGTGTTTTGACTCCCCATTTATTATTCGCAACCTAACATTACCTTGGCTGCTTGGGTGGATCTTCAGACATTGAACCCCCCCACACACGCAAAAAAAACAAACATGTGTTTTTGTTGAGGCTTTTCGAGGCGGTCGAGCCATCCAGACATGGTGCTCATAGGTTTATGCCATCTCGGACGTACACTTCGACCACAAGTGCAACGAGGCCGGCTGCTTTGCTTCGCGTTAAGTTGCTTTTCTGGCTTGCAGCGCTTGGTGGCAAGCCAACAGTCTCCACCCAATCCACACAAGTGAGTTTGCCAATTTGTGGGCTTCCGGAGAATGCCCTTCACATGGTGAGGCACTTGCCATTGCAAGCCCGGTTTATCAGGTGAAAGATTCAGGCCGTGACGAGAGCGATGCGTTTGACAGGATTGGGCGCATCGCATTGACGACTTCCAGTTTCAGGAGGACTGTCATGGCCGCTGCTTTGCGCCCAGAGACTTATTTGGCAGTGGCTCAAAATTTAAAAGAGCTCGGGTTACGCAGGTTTTGGTCCATGTTTAACCACCACCCAGGGCAAGCCATTTTGGACCCCTATTTTGGAGCCACACCCAAGTGGGTTCTCAGATTCAGGGACCCAAAGATGGTTGGCCCCCTACTGGATTCCCTTTAATCCGCAGCGCGCCCTTTGAGCCACACCCATTTCGCCATCCGCAGCGCGCCGGCCTTTGCAGGACGTGCTGATCGTCGCCGGGAACTTGTGCGACACCAGGCCTTCTCAGTTTCTTGCATCGAGTTGTGCATCGAACTTGGCGACGAATAAGCCGCATGGACTCAAAAACTGGTTAATCTAGGGGTTGATTCCCCATTCTTTCAACCATCGTTCTTTTCAAAAACCGGCGGTTTCCCCCTCGATTTTTGACGGTTTCTTGAAAAGAAGGATGGCTGAAAAGAATGGGGAAGGCACCCCTAGAGTTAAGGTCAGCCGACGGCTGAAACCATAAACAGGTGCGGCCACCCGTTCAATTCTTCTGTTTGGGTAGACCCCTTTACCAGGTTTTGATTATGCGGCACGTCCTGTTGAAGAGAAAGCTTGGCTGCATGGCGGTGTTTCGCATTGGATGAGCTGGTTCAAGTTGACGTGTGTTCATTTGTGGTCAAAGGGCGGGTTCCTTTGCTTTGGATCGGTACTGACCGTAGGAATGGTCCATCATATAAAAATTAATATTAAATCAAAAACAGTTATTCTATTTCAGTATAAATCGACTATTTAATTTAAAAAAATAAAATAAAATAAATAAATATATATATATACACATAATTGGGATTCTAGACAAACATGGTAAGGACTCCATTCGGGAACCGTGTCACATGTGCACCGGAGTTTGCAGGAACGCCCTGGCGCGAGCGCTGACCACGCTGAAGGCGGCACTAACCACTGGGCGATGAAACCCGCGTCCCAGCTACGAAACAAACCCGTCACGTGGTGCCCTTTTGGCCTTTGTTTTTGAGGCCGGGTGTTGGTGGGGATGTGATTTTAACATGAAAAATGCTACGAAACACTGTATGCTACCTTCTGTTGTTTTTTAGGGTCCCTTTAAATCGAATACCACACAATGGCGCCCTGTTTCTTCTTTTTTTTCTCTGGGCTACCGGAGGTCTGGGTAAGAAAGGACTCAAATGTTTGCTGATTTGGGAAGGGACCTGATTGATTGCCAACTATCTGGACCCTCGAACTGAACTGGTTTCAAAATTATGGTTTGATGTCCCATTTTTCAGGTTAGAAATAGCATCCAGTTTGCCAGATGAACATGGACAGAAAGCCCACTCATGTTGGGGGCAAGGAAACCTTGTTGGGTTCCATATTATATATTCTTTGGGGTGGGGGGGAGCAACGAATGGAGAGAGGGGTGTTGTGGATTCAAGTGGAGCAGCGTAGCTCAGTCTGGTCGCATTCATGGTCCCAGCCACGTGTCACAATCTGACCAAGTTTCCTGGCGGTTTCTCGCCGGGGGAACCCACATAAGGTGTTTCAGCGAAACCCACTGCATGGGTGGGAAAGCTGATATATGTCCAAGGGGAGCCGGGAAACCAGGGAACCCACAAGAGGGTTTTCGAGGTCCCATGTTGCCACATAGCTTTGCTCGTGCTCGAAGAAGACGCTTGGACCCCGAAGGGTCAATGGTTGGGGCCTTCATACTGCCATTGAAGTGACATTCTCAGACCATTTACCCTCCCTCCAACAATCGTGGAAGTGGACAGGGGGCTTCCCCAAGAGGAAAACAGTCTTTCAACACCCTCCTGTCAGCTTCCATGATTGTTGGAGGGAGGGTACATGGTGGTGTTGAAGGGCCCCCCCCAAAAAAAACAAGATTTTGGGAACCCTCGAATGTTCACCTAGGGCCGAACAACCGACAGGGTATCTGTCAACACGAAAAAAGGTACCTCAAGAAACAACCTTCCGCATAGCCCTCCCATGAACGGTACCCTCTACAAGCACCACATAGCACCACTACAACCGCACCAAAAACGGAATGCTCAGCAAACACATCAAGCAAGCCCAAAAAAACGGTACCCTGCAAAACACAACCCCTAACCGCCCCCCCCCCCCCCAGCATTGGTACCAACCCTGAAAAGAAGGAGAACCCCAAAAACGGTACCCTGCAAAAACAACCCTTAAACCCCCCCCCCCAATGGGCACCAATCAGAACCCCATCCATGGCTGTGGGTCAAAAATAGGTGCCCATGGACCCCTGGTAAACAGAAACATGGACTTGAAAACCTGCGGTCCGATGGCTTAATTTTGACCCATCCCCACCCACGTCTGGCAGCCTTCTTCCCCTCCGCGAGGCCAAGTTTCGGCGGGTCTTCTACGTGCCCGGGAACCACGAGCTGTGGCTGAACCCGTCGGAGGCGGGGGCTGCAACTGGGAGGGTTGGGGGTGTTGGGGGGGTTGGGGGGTGGGGTTGGGGGGGGGGGGGGGTTGGGGGGGGGGTTGGGGGTGGTGGTGGGGGATTGGGGGGGGGGTGGGGGGGGGGGGGGGTGGGGGGGGTTGGGGGGGTTGGGGGGGTTGGGTGGGCGGGGTTGGTTGGGGGTTGGGGGGGGGGGGGGGGGTTGGGGCGGGGGGTTGGGGGGGGTTGGGGGGGTTGGGGGGGGGGGGGGGGGGTTGGGGGGGTTGGGGGGTTGGGGGGGTTGGTTGGGGGGGTTGGGGGGGTTGGTTGGGGGGGTTGGGGGGGTTGGTTGGGGGGTTGGGGGGGTTGGGGGGGTTGGTTGGGGGGGTTGGGGGGGTTGGTTGGGGGGGTTGGGGGGGTTGGGGGGGTTGGGGGGGCTGGGGGGGTTGGGGGGGTTCTACTTTCAGGGACCTTTTCAGGAATTCCAGCTTTCTGTGGCCAATCCTCTCACGAGGTGAGCTTGCTCTCATAGCCAGTGTGATTTGAAGTAAGCGTCTGGAGTTCTGATGCCTCCTCCGAACCCCGAAGCGTCAAATTGTCCTCGGGAAATCCACTTGAGGCGTTTTCCCACTGCCGGATCAGGTGAGTGCCTTTTCGTCTTTTCGTCTTTTACGCCGAAGCCGGCGGGTGAAAGACGGCTGCGTTCCGTTTTTGTCTTGGGGACGCAACACGGGCGCAAGTTGCCTTTGGTTCGTGGGGACCCTGGGCGCCTTTTGGGGTTTACAGGGCTGAAGTCACCCATAATATGGGGGTGTTTTTTTTTTGCGAGGGCGAGGGGTGCAAACCGCGTGTTTGTGTGTGTGGAAGGAAAAGCAGCCATTTTGGGTTCCCAAATACCAGCCGATTTACTGGTTTAGGGTTTAGGGTGTCCAACCAGCAATGAAGATGTCACCAGCTATCTATAACTTGCAGGGCTGGCCTTTTGGCACCGTAAACTCTGACCCCAAGGTCGCAGGGTATTGGTAAAAGGGTCTCCTTGCTTGTTCTCATCTCGAGAGCCGATTTTCTACTCAAAGTTCCCTAGTTGGACCGAACTGGCCTTCAACTTCTGGGCAGAGCTTCGCCTTCCCAGAGGGAAGCGTCCAGAGGGTGACCGTAGCGGGAACTCAGAAGCCCCTGCCACCACAATTCTCAGGTTTGCTCCGAGAAAAGATGAACTTGACGTTGCATTGAAGGTCGTAGCTGAACTCGCAAAGGATTTGTTCGGTCCTTACGGTGAAGTAGAACATTGGCAAATGGCAACAAACATGTACCAATTTCATATACTGTTTCGTCTTTATGATTTTTCCTTCTTCAAATATGTGCTTAATATTTTTTTGAATATTTGCCTAAGAATTTTGGGGGTGGTAAATCCAAGGGTCGTTCCGGGGCCCAACTTTCTAGCCTGGGTTCCTTTGGAACGCCACAAAGGTGGCAACTGAAGGGGGCATCTTTCTGGCCGGATGGGACATTCGCGTGGAGAAACGAATCCACCGAGCTGTGCCTCGCTTGGCTGCTTCCCTGAAAATGAGTGTTTTGCCGGTGAGGCTCCAACAGATTCGTTTCGGCTACAAAAGCCCAATTTCATGTAGAAACCCTTGCTTGCATCGGTTTTTGTTTGGCCCAATTTCGGGTAGAACACCTGCAGATAGGTAGAACAAAACCAAGGCTCCAGGGAGTTCGTTTCGGCTACCAAATGGAACCCTGGATAAGGCAAGACATAACCTGCAAACTTCGCTCCAGCTTAATTTTGCCCACCCAAAACCTGTCGGGTAGAACACCAACACCAGTGGGGCCAAAACCCTCCGACTCGCCTCGTCTCGTCCCGAAACGCGAAAAAAACGCGCGCCGCTCACTGGGCAGGCGGCGAAATATCCGGACTCCCTCTCCAAGCTCTTGGGCCTCATGGAGCTCTGCGACCAGCCACTCGGAGAGCGAGCGCCGCGGGAAAAAAAACAAAACGAGGGCGGTGCTCGGCGTGGAGGGCGCTTTTTCCCTAGGGACAAAGGTGGGGGCGAAAGAAAGCGCAGGTTTCGCGAAAGGGCGCAAGGCCAAAAAAAGACAACTTAATTTCGACCAGCGCCCATTGGTGGATCTCTGGACTTTAAAGTTTTCGGGAAACAGTGGATTTCCGAATTGGACCCACGAAAAAGTAAACTTTTTGCAGAGGAGTCAACAGCAATCGGATTTTCCATTAGGACCCACGAAGTTTGTTTTTCTTTCCGGAGGGGTCAACAGAAACCAAGTAGGTCACACCGCCAGGCGCCTGTGGGTGAAAGCAGTTTCGAGAAAACACTTCCTTTAAAAAAGCCAGGCGACTTTATCATGCTTGGGTTTTCTATAGACATGTTGAAATGATCATGTTGGTTCAACGCCGGTCCGGGGCAATTCTCTGGCAATTCTGCTCGCTTGGACTTGGTTTCCGCAGTTTTAACGTAGCTTTGGGTCCGTTTTTGCACAAGGTTCTGGTTGTGACACACCTAGGTTGGGCGTGGACTGCTCTCCCTCCGCCGTTTGCGAGGAGCAACGCCGTCTTTGGTCGAATGGAACCGCCCAAATTTGTGGCGCGGGAAAGCTGTGGTATATAGCAACCCAGGATTATAATGGTTCAGCCGCCAAACCAGGAGTAAATTTGCGGAAAATTAGCTACTCATGGCATAGATGGATGGGCTTTATTCCATTTACCTGTACCGGCCGCTTTCCAGAAGGTCACCTATGCTCATGGCGTTTCTGGTTTGATCTGGTGTTGTGTCGAGAAGTGAAGCCACGCGCCGACGAGTCTTGAGACCTACCTCGACATAGGTCCCTGGTTGTTGGCAATAGAAACCTCTCAAGCTCTGTGTGCGTGTCATATTGTTGCATCGGAGTCGAATGACCAGGTTTCCTGGATCCTCAAGCTCCTCTACAAGTGGGATGTTTCACCCCATCTTTTTTTCGGGGGAGAGAATTCCACATTGAGGGCAGAGGAGAGGGCGCAGCAGGTAGGGGTTGGAGCGAAATCTTCAGTCGCAGCACCTCCCAGGCTCCAGTGGGCCCTAACTTTGAGGATCATGGGCCAAGATGAGCTTCCTTCAGTGGCCTAGACCTCCAGAGTTTGTTTTTTGTTTTTAAATAAATAAAAATAACAATAAGCGACCATGTTTTGGGCCCGGGTAAAATCCAAGGAGGGGGATGCGTCTTCTCCCAAGCCTGGGATATTTTTTGGAGAAAGTTCGATCGGAGCGGTGGCCAACTTGTCTTCAGAGCCTGTGCCGTGCCCACCGAAAAGCCAATTTGTTTGGCAGGGGTCATACAAGATCCACGCCGCGCAGTTGACTCGTAGGTCCTATATGGTTTGGTCCATGCGAGAAACAGGGCATCTGTGTGTGTGTGCGCGGGCTCGTGTGTGGAGCTTGAAACCATCCATAGCCTGTGCAGGACGTGTTCGTAGTTCCGCTCCTCTCCTGGTACACCGCTGAGTTTGACGAGAAGGCGTCTGGCTCTTGAGCAATTGCGACTGAGAGAGTCACAAGATCAACGTGGGTGTGCCGTGTCCTTTGAGCTGGTAGCCCTTTTGGGAATGATTTGCAGGGAAAGTTGGAAGCCACTCATTTGGTGCTTTGCCGGTTCTAGGACAAGACCATGCATACACCACTATGAATCCAATGGCCTGTTTGGTGGCTAAGATTGAACAGCCTAAGGTGCCTTTTCCCTATCCTTACGCAACTTTGCGCCCGACTCTTCGACTTCGAGTTGGAGTTATGGCAAGGTAAAGCTCTGTAGCCTTTGTTGGGGCTTGGTTTCAATTATTTAAGAGGGAACCCCAAAGTGACAGCCGCCCATGTTAGGGGTCCCGGTTTAAGATACACCCAAATCTTCACTCAAAGTGAAGCCTAGCGAGAAATTCCGAACGAGGGCCTCCGGGCCCAAAGACTGGCCTCTTGTGATCGACGAATTGGAATCAAAGTTTCTGAGTTGGATGGGTCTGTCTTTGTTTGTGGCTGGCCCTATGTGGGCTTGGTGCAAAGGGAAACCAAAGGGTGACCGGCTTCCATTTTGGGGGTCTCCCTGCTTCAAGATGCACTGATATTTGTTTCAACATGTTCGGATGAGTTGTGGCATCTACGTGTTATTTGACAGTAAAAGCAAAAAACGCTGATGAATATGAACCAGCCGATTAATCCTGTGATAGGGATTAAAACGAGCCGGGGCCCAGCAGAATCCTTACCAGAGTTTCAAGTTGGTTGATACTCTTGTGATTCACCGTGGTGAGTTGCTTGCTACGTGAGGAGTTGCCGGCTAACCGGGCTAGGCAGCAATATAGGAATCCTCGCGCGGCAGTCCTTTTACGTTGCTGAGAGCTCTTTTGGCTTCCCTCAGTGGGCTTGTCGTTTAACTTCTTGAACGGGAACGAAAAGGAAAGCCACAGTTTTCGGGGCCCCTCGATCTTGTCACATGCCGCACCGCAATAGTTTGGTGAAGTTGAGGGATTCCACGTGAGTCAAGAGGCGATTAAAGCGCCGCGCTTTTCACCTCCCACTTGCATAGTGGCGATTTCAGCACCCGTTCTACCCTCAGCTGGTTCCCGGTACAAAAATTATGCTGTCCTCACGGGCCAACTGGAACGGAGGTTGCCGAGCGAGTGCTCAGATCCAACCTACCACGATCCAAGAAGCAAGGTTGCTCCGACAACCCTCTGCTAGAAACTGGGTTGTCCAGCAACCCTAAAACCCATGTGCCATCTTTGGAGCAGCCCTGATCCAACCTCAGCAGCGACTCCTCTATATTGCCAGACTCAAGAATCTGCTGACCCTTTGTTTGTTTCAAGCTTAAGTTTGTTTTACCTCTTTGCCTTTCCAGCGACAAGTGACACCATGTGCATGTCTAACTCGTGGTCCATAGCACGGAGGATCCATTCCCCGATCCCAACGCGAACTTCGACCACCAGTGCCGCTGGCCGCTGGATCCAGACACCCAGGCGCCGGAGGGCGAGAGGTTTCGGCCAGCCGTCGGCGGTTGCTGTTGCTTTGAGGTCTCCTGTGCTTGGCTATTTGGGTAACAACAAGTGGGGTAGGGGGACACCAAGAGTAGGGTTGGGTAGGGTTGGTGGTCAAAAATGGGGTAAGCCCAAAATGGGGTGCCCGATCGTTGAATGGAAGCAAGGACTAAAACCTGCGGTCCAATTCCTGGTGGTGCAATTTTGACCCATACCCATTTAGATCTGTAGACTTGAGCTTTTGGGAAAGCGACTTTTCCAACCTGCAAAAAGTTAACGTCTGGATTGCATCCAGCACTCAGGGTAGGGACTTGATGCCATGGACATATGCGGCTTGGCAGATTGGGGTGCGAACTGAGAGCAATACTACAGCATGCAATCGCCGTTCGGGCACGCGTGCTGCAGTGTTGGTACAACTGACCCGTGGACATTTCGCGGTGTGTCTCTGGAGGGCGGCCTTCAGGCATGATTGCCTACACTGCCAATGGCTACTTTACGGTGCCCGAACAGCATCGCTTGCCCCAACTTCCCGGTGCCCTCGATCGATTACACGAGGGCTGTGACGAAGAGGATTTCGACAGTTCGGGGTGCCCAACATAGACCTTTTGGAACTTTTGGTTGGTTGAAACATGCAAACAGTAGAGGAGGTTTGGTCAAGATATCCAGTCTATGGATTTTTTTGGCTGGGGAATCGATAAGAGTTGGCCGTGGCGCACAACCTCCAAATACTTTTCTGGTGGTTTAACGACCAGCTTTTGCTTGTCGAGCGAGTTGCCTTGTATCAAGGGGACTCTTTGGTCCCTTCCTCTGGCTTTGGGGAGAGGATTCTGTACTCATTTTGTGTGGGTCCCGATTCCCGATCCAAAGTTTTTCGGGTTTGCACCGCCAAACCTCAGGGGCGTCCTGTTAATGTCCTTGCAGTAATTTGTGGGTGTCTCTTTTTCTGAGTGTACCTTGTTCGGGGTTGGTATAAACGGACACTGATGAGACACCACCCCACTTTGGGATTCCCCTTGAAGACAATCCCATGGCCCCTCTGAAAGTAAAGCTCTCCTCTTCAGAGCTGTGACCTTGTCCGAAAGCAGGTAGCAAATGGACCGCCCGGACTCCACTTGCTCCATGCTTTGTGGTTGGGTCCTAGTACTGCCCTCAGTGGCTTAAACATCACGTTTTGATTGCAATGTTGCCATGGGCTTTCTTGTGGGTGGATGATGTTTGAAGGGGACCCGTGATTCAATCAAACACAGGGCAATATGTCAAAATGTTACTTGAGACTTGCCCAAAGCGAGAACCGACCCGTTGACCTTTCGGCGTTCTCATTTGGCAATCATGAGTCAAGGTCTGAAACCTGGGCCACTTTTATTTCAAGTCCAAAGAAGCGCACTCTTTTTTTTCAAGGTCCTTTGGCGCATGATTCGATTCCTGGGTGCAAAGGCGGTGGGTTTTTCGTCTCGTCTTTGTCTCGTCTCGTCTTTGCTGGCTGGAAATTCGTGGCCGTCGGGTTTTCCCGTGGCCAGGTGTGGAAGTACATGCTGAAGCTCAACGAAGCTCATCTCCAGTCTTTGCCTCGGGGCCAAAAGGCTTGCGGGAGCTTTTGGCTCTTCAAGTGAGCCACTTGCTCAAAACCGATTCGGGTAGATGAACCACCCCTGGGTTTAAGCCTACTGCGGGGTAGTCAAAAAGTGGAACCCTGGTAGATTTTCCATGTGAGGAACAATCAAAACCGATTCGGGTAGATGAAGGTTAGTAAGGGGCAGTCCCAGCCATAAATAGCTGCGGATATCCGCCTTCTTACTTCTTCACATGGTTCTGGGTCAACCATTCTAATACCGGGTTTTGATTGTGGCTCAAGTGGTGGGAGCCCACCGTCATGCGCATCTTGAGGGGCTTTTTTTGCAGAAGTTGGTTGTGGGGGGTCCAGGTTCCCCTTCCATTTGGAGGGAAATGTTTAAGGATGTCACTTGAAATGTAAGTAGGCTACCATGAGGATGAAGTCGGGATTGAAGGGAAGCCGAAGGGAAACCCATTAGAGTCATTAGAGATGGTCCCCAATCAGAGGCAGACATATATTCCTGCAGTGGGATCGGCACTTGTACCAGCCCGCCACAATTTCTTAGTCAAAATCACCTTGGCCGCCCAATTTTTGCAGTGAGCTTCCAGTCGGGGTGATGTTTATAGGTTGGACATAGTATATGGAATCTGCTCAAACACCTCCCTATGCGCACATATCTTTTCGTCGGAGGCTTCCATGTAGTTAGGTGTTGTGCCAGTGGGGTTGATTTGATGGGCCTTCTCACAACATAGGCCGTATTCTGCCTGCAAGTGTGTCTGGTTGCAAGTTGACTATTTCAGGCTCATTGCTGCTGTATGTTTCTGGCCGTAGGCCTGGAGAAAAGCCAGTGCCGGGAAAGACAATACTGGAGGTCGCGCCAAAATCACGCAATGTGAACGCATTGGGAACACCTGGCATTTGGGATTGCCCTTTTCCAAGAACCGGTTGAATCCCTGGGTCTTCTATGGCGGTCACCTCCTCCAGAGGAATTCATTTCCTCTTACACACCTGGCGCCGTCCAAGGGACTCAGGTAGCCGGGGCGTAGGCTTTTTTAGGAGACCCTCCCAGTTTTTGACCCCTTTCGTAAGCTGATGGCTATAGGCTGGCCAGAATCCGCAGTCTGAGTCTCACAATAAGGCCTAAGCTTGAGGCGGGATAGGACCCATATTGCCAGCAGCTACAGCCTTTCCTCTCCGTATTGTCCATTCGCTCGGCTCCATTTCTTTCTAGGGGATCCCCCTGGTTTGCCTTTCAGAACTCTTTTTGTTTGGGGGGGGATGCTTTCTTGAGGTTTCAACCACAAAAGGAAGGCAACTCCTCCAGAGTTGCCCGAGTTTCCTCGATGGTTTTCTCAGGTTTCCTTGGGAAAGCATCCCAAAGTGGCTTGCTTGAGCTTTCTTGAGATGAACTGCTGGTGCTCAGTAAGGAATGAGGGAATGAACCTGGAGATTCCCGAATAAAGGCAACCACCAGTTGGATGGTTTAAATCGGGGTCATTTCGACTCATTCTCTGCCTATCGCACCAGCAAGATGAACTGCTGGCCCTGCGTTTCAGATGTTACGTTCTTTGGTTGGCAGCTCTGGTGGCTGCTTTTCGGCGGCTTTCCTCGGCTTGCTATAGAACTAGTGGCAAAGCAGCTTTTGGCTTTAAACCGATTTGACATGTTGGACTTGAAATGTTCAGCTGGCTCAATTCAAGCTTTTGGCTTCTAGAGTCAACTTAGGACTTCTAGGTGTGTTGGCTTCCGACCTTAAACTCTACGCCAATCCGCGAAACCGGCCCGAAACCCACGCGAAGCCCGCCCGGCCGAAACGCAGCCTAAACGCAGCCCAAACCGACAAAGAAAACGCCAAAGCCCAGCCACCCGTCCCAAGCCAAGTTTTCTACCCGAACCAAGCCGAAGCCAACAGACAAAACAACATTCCCGAATGACAACCCAAATGATATCCACTGGTCTTCCGAAAAAAAAAAAAAAAAAAACTTCCAGCTGAAGCGGTCGAGGCATCCCTACCACGGCACAGTCATCACGTTCTCGCGCGGGGCCCAAGAGTCTGCGCCAACCCGCATCCCCTTCCAGGGAGATTTGGGGGAAAGGCCCATCGCTCTGGAGATCCTCCTTGGCAACCCATGTGAGTGTGAGTGAGTGAGTGAGTGAGTGAGTGAGTGAGTGAGTGAGTGAGTGAGTGAGTGAGTGAGTGAGTGAGTGAGTGAGTGAGTGAGTGAGTGAGTGAGTGAGTGAGTGAGTGAGTGAGTGAGTGAGTGAGTGAGTGAGTGAGTGAGTGAGTGAGTGAGTGAGTGAGTGAGTGAGTGAGTGAGTGAGTGAGTGAGTGGTGAGTGAGTGAGTGAGTGAGTGAGTGAGTGAGTGAGTGAGTGAGTGAGTGAGTGAGTGAGTGAGTGAGTGAGTGTGTGTGTGTGTGTGTTTTTTTTTTTTCTCCGGGTGCCGCTTTTGCAGTGGTTTGAAAGGGAAGCCACTAGAAACCACCCTTTTAAGGCTCCTAATAGAAGACATTCCCATGTTCCTTGGGCGAAAACCCCCCTACCTCAAAGAGGTGGAAGCCCGGCGCAGGTCATGGAAAGGGCGCAAGAGATGGCGGGGTTTGCGGTGCTTCTCTGTGCTCACGCGCATGGGATGTCCAACAGGGGCCACTTTTATGGAGGGTTCCTTGCTTTTGAAGACAGCCAAGTTGGTTTTCATGTTTGACACCAAAAACAAACACGTAGCCCATCATTGGCGCAAAGGGGACTTAGGTACTTGCGGGGAATCATGTTGGCATGGCTCCTTTCCAATTGGGGAAGTGTTCCAACCATATGTTCCTTTATTTTGAGCCGGCCGTGCCGAGTTGTATTACGAATACGTCATGTTTCGGGGTCATGTGGGCATGACCGTTCCAACTCCAGTGATACCAAGGCACCTCCCCTCAAATGAGGCACTAGTCTTTGGATACTGGCCTTCCAGTATCGGGAATTTCCGGCAACCCTGATCAGTTCCTGCAGGTTTGGGTGAGAGATCCTTCAGTGCCTTTTGATAGCTGCAATGGGGCAAAAGCTACAATCGCTCAGTTTCTGAGGTCCCAGCGCAGAACCTGTAGAGGTCCAACTCCATACCCAGCAGACTCTTCAGATGCACCTGCATGGTTTTGACGCATTTCCGCGCCGGCTGCAGGCATTTTCTGCCCTCGCGGAGCCTGCCTTTTGCGGCCTTCGGCAGAGCAGCAAAGGCGGGGTTGTGGGAGGGCCTCGGCGTCTCTATATGCCTCTATGGACCCCTCGATTTGCTCAGCAGTAAGTCGAGTAAGTCGGTAACTTGAGCGTTGCCGGGGCTAAGTCGAGTAAGTCGGAAAATTGACAGTTGTCAGCAAGCAGGGCGTGTGGCAAGAGCCGAGAGCCTTGAAGGCACCTGCGCGACGCAACTACCAACGCCTCCAGCTGGCCGTGCTTTGATCTATTTTCTATCTGTGTCTCTGCAGGACCTAGACCCTCAAGCTTCCCTTCGGAATGGGACATAGTTCCAACATAGTATTCATCACGTGGTGATACCGCGTATTCTGTTGAAAGGGAAGCCCGGGAAGCGCCATTCATCCGTTTCATTCGGGTGTTTCTTGGGCCTTTGAAATGGGTTTGGGTCAAAATGAAACCACCAGGAATCGGACCGCAGGTTTTAGTCCATGTTTCCTTTTACCAGGGTTCATTTTGGAGGCCTATTTTTTGACCCACGCCCAAATCGCTCCTTAAAAGATACATTTTGCCCATTTGAAACATGGCTTTTTCCACCAAAATATGGGGACACCACCATTGACAAGGCAATTTTCAGGTGTATAATGTAAGGATCCCTGTTGAAATCTGCCTGATATCCCGTTTGGCCCCATCGGTTTGGGGCGGCAGGCGATGGGTTGCGAGGACCTCAATGACCAGGCGGCTGGACGCTGCCACCGCATGCTCAGCTTGGGAGCCAGGGACAAGAACCATAAACTGCAAAAAAGAGCCCAAGCACTCCCAAAATCACTATCACTAGCTCCCCCAAAGTCCTTCTCTCACCCTTGTTTGGTTGGGAGGGTTTCCCTACTAAAATAGACTACAGAAAAAAGTGGGTACCCTAAACCCTAACCTCTCCACTGGAGGACCTTAGATCAGGTTTCCGCAACCTTCGAACACAAAATCGCGAATCTCAGGCGAGTGCCCAAATGTGGGGCATAGGTGTCCTTTCTGGTTGGTTTGGTGAACAAATTCAGGGCGATTCCTGGTTTACTTGGTGGTTCACTTATCTGCCAGGGCCATCGATTTTCCCAACAAGGACCTGTATGGTTTGGGGTCTGTGCAGATTGTTTGCCGCTCTATTTTCCAAAAAGGCCCGGAATCCACTTGCCGTTCAGCCGGCCTCCGGCAAGTGGGCTAAGAAAAAGCAATGCAGATCTCCAGCGGCGGAGAAAGACATTAAACCATGTTGTTGGTAGTTGATTTGGACCCTTTGGACATCATTTGCAAGGGATTCATGCTCCTCATTTCGGGCCCCAATCAAGCTTCGGCCCAGGACAAACAGGCCTGATAGAATCCAGTTTCAAACTGGCCAGGAATTTGATGAGTCAGAACCGAGCAAAGATTTGTGCCGCGTCGCGCGTTGCGTACCCAAAAAAAAGAGTCATAGCCAACGACGGGTTCTGGTTTCCTCACTAGGTGCCCCAGTAGTGCCCTTTTACCCTTTTCTGGGGGAGGGTTCCCCTACTAAAATAGACAAAACCTGAAAAAACAAGTGGTACCAATTTATTCTAACCTCTCTACTGGAGGACCTAGCTCAAGAGATCGTTTTTCGCTTTGGCACTCGGCCAGAGAGCCATGGGGTCGACGGGATTTCGTGGAAGTTGCTGGGGGGGCAGTGGTCCATTTGGCAAGGGCCTGAGCGAGCGCATTTGTTTTCCACCACCAGGGGAGGAGCCCATTTTTTCCCCTTGTGCTTTGGGGGAAGCATGACATGACATTGAGGAATGGCTCACCTTGGTCCCCCCAAGTTGTCCAAGGCAACAAGGAAATCCACGTGATGAACCATGGCTGAGGGTTAGTTCGCTTGCAACCTCACTCATTGGACACATGTTTCTCAAAATCGGGGTCGGTTCCGCGCTGGATGGTTTTGGGGCAAACCCAAAGGACACTCATCTGAAGGGTCCCTAATTTTGAGAAACGTTTCCGCAATTTGCTGGGGTGACATCTAATGTTGACCCAGGATTAATAAACCCGTCCCATTATTAGGGGGTGTTCCCTCCAAACGTGATAAACCCCAGTAAAAGGGGACACCCCCCCAATCAAAATCAACCAGGGGTTTATTCATCCGGGGTGAACATTACCCATGTTTAGGTTGTTGGGTCTAGAGAGACATGGACCCGATCGGGGTTAGGCAAGATGTTGAAGCATACCACGGGGTTCCCCCCCCAGTTTCATCCACTTTCTCAGTCTCTTTTCTGGGGCCTTGAAACTTGGGTGGTTCCCAGCCATCCGGTTCCTTAGCTTTTTAGAGCTTTTTAGTGTTTAGTGGCTGGATTTCCGCATTTAAGCCACTCAGGGTTAGTCACTTTTAGCAGGGGATCTGAGGACAGCCCAGAAATAGTTGGCGAAGCAAACAGGCGGCAGCAGCGAGATCCGTTGAATTCTTGGGTAGATTCCTTGAGCACCAGGCAAAGAGAGGAAGAATTGGTTCGGCGAATCGGTTCAATCAGTGGTTGCAGGCGGTTCCCAGCCCTGGAGGGGTTGGGAGCCATGAGGTGTGGAGAACCTGAGTATTACTTTCTTTCCGCAAAAGATGAGTGGACGAGCGCGGATTGAATGTCCCATGTCTTCTTGCTGGAAAGCTTGGTAGTTTTGACCGTGGCTCATTGCTTGACAACCTGAGGTAGGGCTCAAGCAAATGGAAGCCTGGTTGGGAGCGATCAAATAGCAACCAAATTTGATTTGGCTGAAGGGATAGCAAGAGGAAGGGCCATGTGGTTTATCCCGGTTGTTCACCCGCAAATAGTCCACCAACTGTTTAGCGGGAGTACCTTCCACTCAATTTCCTGCATGAGGCCGCGCAATCCTTTCGCTTCCGGTGTGATTGTAGCGCGTCTGCGGTAGGTGAAGTCATTCCGGTTGAGACACCACGTGCACGCCCGGGTCTCGGCAAGGGAGGGGGCCGGCGAACCGCAAGGTTTGCTCTGATGAATTTCTAGCCAGCTCGCCTGATGAGTGATGAAGGCAACTTACCTAGAAATTCCTTCTGCCCGGCTCAGGATTCTAATTGCTAGTAATCTGTCCCCGGTTGCCCAGTTGTCATGCCTTTTGTTCTTCCTTTTTGGGTAAGGGTTCCCCTTTACAGTCAACCAACCAAAAAAAGGGTGCCCTCTTTTAACATGGACATCCCCTGGGCATCTGAGAATCTGTCAATCTGCGTTGATTTGGGGTGTCTTTGGTTTGGGCTTGGGTGCGGGACCCCAAGATCCAGTCCGAGAAGCATCCTGAGAGGGGCAAAGCGGCGGTATGTTGGATCAGGGTCGTGGCTGATCACTCGAGGTTTATCCAACCACTTCACAAGGGAGATCTCCCCCCTATTTTTTTTTTGGGGGGGGGGTGTTCATCTTTGGGAAGCCCTTTTGGTTGCATCACAAAAGTGGTCATTTCCCACGACCCTGAAGAGGGTACATGCAAGCGGACAGTCCAAGCGAATCGCCTCAAGCGCTTGTGGAGGGGTGCTGGATGGAGACGCTCTCTTGTTTTTGTTTGTGTTTTTCCCTCCCCTCCCTTTTTTCTCGGGGTGGTTTTGCCCCAAGGGAAAACGGACCAACAGTTGCCAAGCTTGACAATGTTGGAACCTAGGCACGTTTATGCAACGAGGAAGTAGCCACGCCACCCTGATTGATTGCAGAGGGGCCAGCTTGTGTTGTTTCCCAAACAAGGCATTCTCAACAGCCATTTTGGCAGCAGGCATCCCCCCATCCAAGGACAATCATGTGTGTAGTATCCGAAAGGAGAGCCCATTCAACAGGCGACCCCAACCGCAAATTGTACCAACAATCGAACGCATCTGATTGGCTGGCTTCGAAGAAGCATTGGCTTTTGCAAGCATTTCAGAACCCATTTAGGCTCACTCGATTTGTGCCAGCCGTGCCTATCTCTCCGCTTTTGCTTTACACGTGGTGCATGTTCTTCTTGTTCCTTCCAGGTCTACGGGCACTCCTCCCGGCACTTCGCGCAGTACGAAGACGGCATCCTGTGCGCCAGCAGATTGAGAGGAATTTTCCTGTGACCTCGAGTGCCAGCTTGCTCAGCTCTGGAGTTGGCGAGCTTTGTTGCCAGAACAAGATACTAGGTGGTTTCCTTTTTGGAGGAAGCCCGGATAAGGCCAAGTTCCCCAAATAATGCAACGTACCCCGACACTCATGGATAAGAGCCATGGACGCTAGCAGGACACCACTCAAATAGCTCCGTGTTGAATCGAAGGCCCGCGCGAGTCGTGAGCCTTTGGGGGGAAACTTGGCGTGCTTCAGCAAGTCGGTTTTGGGGGAACACCGTTAACTGGGCTGGGGGGTGGGGTGGGGTCGGGGGGGGATCCTTTTGGATTTTTTTGGCACGTCAACAAACGAGGTGACTTGCAAAAAGCCGGCGACTTGTTTGTTTCACAGGGCGGGGGGCCCTTCGATTTCTGGGGGTCTGAGGCTCTGAGGGTATCCACCTTGACAGCCCCAGGGATGCTCACTGGGCGTCTCTCGCGCAAAGAAGAAAAAAAAAGGCGACGGCTTGGCAAGGCAGGCGCTCCACTCGTCTTCACTTGAATCTCCAGCTGGGCTGAAATTCCCGTTTACAAGCTGGTGGTTCGAAGGGAGCGTTAGGGAGCGGGTATCCAAATAGTTGCGCCTTTAGTTCCGAACCGCCATTGCCATCCGAGTCCAAACCTTTGTGTTGTCGGGGCTTAGGATTTTGACAGTCCCCACCTCTTTGTCATTGTATGCTCCGACGGAAGCCATCACTAGTCACTATCCTGCACAAAATTGTGCGAAGGTTCTACAGGCTTCACGCATCCTTCTCTTCAGAATCAGGGCCAAACGTTGTCGGACTCTTGAGGTCATTTTCTCAATAGTGTTCAGACTCATTTTTTCAGATTTTAATGCTAAAGAGAGTAAGATAATGAGGGTATTGCGAGAAATATGGCTGTGGAAAATTGGGCTTGGGGCCACTTTCTGTTCTGTGATACCAGGGGAATCCTCCCAAAAGCGACACCGTAGTCAGAGGGATGGGACTCCCACTTTGGTGTCACGAATTTTCCGCGACCATGCACTGCCCCAAAGGAACTCTGGGGGCCCCGCTATCTAGGTGTGTCCTTTTTTAGCGGACCCCCCCAAAAAAACAAAAGAAGGAGAGATAGTTTCGTCTTGGTTTCAAACCCCCCCACCCCCCCCCCCCCCAAAAAAAAAAAGGGGTACTCTCAAGAAACACAGATCCATATGTTTTATATGAACCCGGCGAAGGTACGTGAACCACTACCACGGCACAGAGGGCGGGCACGCGGAGAGGTCCCCGCTCTTCTTGGTGCACGATGGAAAGGCGGGGGTTCCTGGAGGTCTAGCGCCGCTTTGGGCAACGGTACAGCAGCAAAGCAGCGCTACAGAAGACCATGTGAGCCACAATCAAAACCGGGTAGATGAAGGTGCCATCCGGAAATAGTTGCGGAAGCGTTTTCTAATTCTTTACATGGTTCTGGGTTCACCATTTTTGTACCAGGTGTTGATTGTGACTCACGTGCCTTGACTGCTATTGTGTTGGATTTTTAGACTTTAATCTTTTGGTCGAAATCAAGTTGTTTTTTTTTTTTTTTTTTTACGATTTTTTTGCAGAGGGGTCGTTGCAGCAACCAAGGCGCGGGTTGAGAGCAATGTCCATTTCCTAACCGGGCCCCCGGTTTGACCATGGGAACTTTCCCCACTGACTGGGCAAGGTCGGCTTTTTCGTGGCTTTCCCTGCCATGTTAAGGGGCCCTTTCAACCCCCAACACATACCCTCCAGCATAGCAACTGTGGGAAGGTACCCGTGGGAAGGTACCTAGGAACATTGCCTCTTGTGGGGACCCCTTGTCAGGTGCCGTGTTGGAGGGAGGCAGGGTAAACTGCACCCTCACACTTCCCTTAAACATGGGGAATCCACGATTTTTCCTTTCTTCTTCTTTGTTTTTGTATTGGCGGGCGGGGGGGGGGACACTGCTTAATCGTGGTTTGAAGACGAGGAAAATACATGAGGGGCTTCCAAATTCGTTGTTTTCCATGTTGTTTTGATCGATAGCTTGAACTTTCATCATCGACTCTGCTGAACATTTGGATTGTTGTCCTTTAAAGACTAATGTGGGTGTGCCTTGTTTTGAGGGTACCGTTTCTGGGTGGTTTGAAAGGACGCCAAAGAGAGACCACCCATTTTGGGGCTTCCCCTTTGAGAGAAGCCCATGTTGAAAATTTGAGGGGGTCCCTGTTGTAAAGGTTGAAACCCTCTAAAATGACTTCATGTCAGCACAGCGGGACGGTATATTGGCTTTCAAAGCCACTCAGCTCTGCGAAAGTGACGTCGATGCAGCTCACCGCAGTAGCAAGAAAAACGTCTCGATGAGGTCGTGATGGAGTCCGGGCAGAAGATGCATCTAACATCACAAAGTGAACTTGTGGTTCACACTTGGGCAATACCACTGGCATCTACTTTTGATGCTACCGATCTCAGGAAGTCTTCAACCAATCTCCCGATGGTCACGTTGAAGCACGGCTACCAACGTGAATGTGCATGTCGTTGTTCCTACAATTACGATGGGAACAAGGCTACAGCAGGAGAATTGGTTTCTCCTGATTGCCCATGCGTTGAGGCTGGTCTCAGAACCTCTGTTTCGCACCCGCCTTGGTTTGCGGAGAGGAAAATCTTCGAGGAGAAGAGTTGGTCAGTGAAACCTCACCAGTGGATAGTGTGCCACAAGGCGTACTACTTTGAAACGGAAAGGTTGCGACTTTCGAGCCGGGGCTCCAGATGTTTACTCCGCTTACTACTTTTATATTAAAAAGTTGCGACTTTCGAGACGGGGCTGCGGACAATTTACTAAGTGTATTACTTTCGTATTGAAAAGTTTCGCCTTTACGAATACCACTTTCGTATTGAAAGGTTACGACTTTCGAGCTGGGCTGCAGAAGTGTACTTTGTGCACTAGTTTTCTGATGAACGTTGTTCCGCGATGGGGCTCGCGAAAGTTAACCTTTTTCTCACGAAGATGGCGGTTTCCGGAGCAAGGAATTTCAGACAACCGTCATATCTCAATCACCCGAATTCATTCGGAGAATTTGCAAATTCGGCCTCCCAATTGATTAGCTTAATTAGAAGAATTATGCCAATTCTGATAGTTAGGATACTTGGGATAATTTGGACAACGCTTACTTCATGATCGTAATCAGGTTGATTAGATCAGTTAAAGGAATGTAACATGTCTCCCCTTTTCACCTGGTCATTATTTTTCCTATTTGATCGCAATTGACATAATCTCCAAATTCGCACTCAATCTCACCAATCATCCTATCTATTTGTTATGACTACTTAGACTGCCAACAGGGATTCGACGGGTTGGTTGTTGCTGCCATTACTCTTCCAGACAAAAAGAAATATCTGGACCCTCAAACTACCCCAAGATGTTCAGAGACTGTCAGCCTGTGGTTTCCCTAGTCAGCTTGCCCCCCAGTTGGTAGTTTGGACTGGCTGTTGCAGCTAGGTCCCCCAGTAGTGCCCTTTCACCCTTTTTTGGGGGAGGGTTCACCTACTAAAATAGACTACAGAAAATAGGGTACCCTTATTCTAACCTCTCTACTGGAGGACCAAGGCAGAAATCGGACACCGCTCCACCCAACTCCAAGCGTCTCCAAACGATGCGACTCCCTGCGAGTCGCCATGGCATCCGCCAGGATGTCGCCAAGCGGCAGGTGGAGATCTACTCTGGGCCAACGAGATCGTAGGACAAATTTTCGCGCCCAAACTTCCATGTGGTTAAGACTATTTGTATTTCCCCCTGTCGGTATAAAGGGAACCTATCACTACTGGAATTATCTTCTTATTTTTTCCCACTGGGCTTACGCAAATGGAGGCAAACCTGCGTAGGTTGGCATTGCTAGGTTCTCTAGGTGTCCTTTCTCACCCCTTTTTTGGTTGGGAGGGTTCCCCTACTAAAATAGAAAAAAGTTGGCACCCTTATTCTAGCCTCTTTACTGGAGGACCTAGATTAGATGGGCGTGTCTTATAGGGGGAGCCTCCTTGATTTGGGTTGGTTCCTTTTCACACCCCCGCCACCAAACCAACCAAAAGGGGACGGGTCCCCTTTTAGAAACGACAGACCCAAGAAATAGCCTACTTGGAGGCCGGTCAAAAGGGACGTGACCCAAGAAAAAATATAGCAATCTTGGGTTGTCCCTTAAACATGTTCACATGCAAGGGACAGCATTGACAGGGAGCGGTCTCCAATGCAACAACTACTTCTGTAGTTCTGCAGTGGGCAATGGGAACTCAGTTGATTAAACAAACCCCGGTTCATGTAGGGGTGTCCGGCTTTTCGCGGGAATTCTCACTTTTCGGGGGGAACACTCCCCAATCATCCGCAGGGTTCTAATTGTTTAAATGGTTTGACGTCACTTCCAATTGTCGGGTCAGTCACCGGGTTATTTCAGGCACAGCTACCCCAAGTCTTTGGCCCCTGAAAAAGCTGAGTTCGTAGCGTGGCTCGCTGTTTCACAGCCAAAACAGTGCGCGTGACGCGGCTGTCCTCAGGCCGGTCGTGCATAAAAGCGGCTCGCGGTTCGAGGTCTGCCGGAGACTCGATCTTGTGTTTTTCCCGGGCGTTTGCTTGGAATTGGTGGCTGGGATGTGGATTTGTCTCCAGCAAAATGCACGGTTTGCCTTTGAGGCCCCTTTTGAAACACCTTCACAGGGTACCCTCCAACAATTCCCAATGTGAGGTGTGTCTCGTCATATCCTGTATAACTCAACCGGACCCCTGGTTGGTAAATAGGGGGTGTCCCATTTTGGAGGCCATCCTTGCTTACGGAAACATCCCTATTTCTTGCGCAGTGTCAAAGCCGGGGCGGTTTTTCTATAATGTCCGACCCAAGACCCATGGAACCCGAACAAATTCTTTGGCCAAGGGTGCAACCCTGCAAGCCCCAAAGCGGACGCTAGAGACCCACCGTTCCCCACCTCATCAACCAAGGGTGTACCACAGACTCTCAGACATCGTCTGCATCGCGCGCTCTCTCGGACCTGGCTCTCTGCAAGCTGTATAGTATTAATTCCCAACCGCCTCCGGAAAAAAAAAAGAAGAAGAAAAAAGCAAAAAACGATCCAACTTCAACCGCCCACAAGCCTCCACCGTCCCAGGGCCCGGAAAATCTGTTTCTCGGAAACACGACGAACGTCGCATCGAAACTTCGATCATCGGGATGTCTTTGCATGGCCCGGCAGCCTGGAGAAACGAGAAAAACCGACGCTGGCGCTTTCGGCGGGCGAAAGTTTGAGGAGACCCCCTGGTTTTGGTGGCCAAAGGGACGAGCCAAGAGGAAAACTATCATTTGTGTAGGCCCCTCCCCCCCCCAGACCAAAAAAAACGGGAACAGCCCATAGCCCCAAATGTGTTGTTCCCTCTTTTTTTTGTTTAAGAGTGCGAAGGCCAGAAGGCTTGACGGTTCCTGCGGGGGATGCGAAGACAGGGATCACTTTTGCGGGGCCCGGCACCCTAGTAGGATAGCACCATCCAGACTTCCAGTCACTCAGAAATTGGTGTGGACCCGTGCCAAGTTGCAGGGCCCCTTTGGCAGCTCTAGGACATTGGAAGGGGTCCTCCGGTTTTCCAGGGATCGTTGCATCTCACGTCAAACGAGCGCAACATGGTTCCCCATTGTCATGTATGGGCCAAGATTAAAGCACCAGGAATCGGGCCGCAGGTTGTGGTCCTTGGCTCCATTTACCAGGGTTCCATTTTGAGTACCTATATTTTTTTGACCCAGACCCATTTCTGTTTGAGGCATAGCGTCTTGCACACTTGGTTCCCCATTCCCTTCACCCATCGTTCTTTTTTGAAACCCAATTTTCCCGCAGGGGTTTGGCGAATTGTGGCTACGCCACACAGGGGGCCTAATGTCAATCGAGCCACCGCAGGCGCCGTGAGAATCAGGACGTACTTGTGAAGCAAAACGGCAACAGGTGCAACAGCTGCAACAGGTGCAACAGGGGCAGGAGGTGCAACTGCCTGCCCAAGCAGAAGTCAATTCAGCGGAGCAGTCCGGACATGTTTTCTGGACGAGCTGCACCTTTGAATTGGTGAGCGCAATACAAAACCTTGAGAGAAGACAGTTTCTTGATGTCCCGCGAAGTCGACCAAGCGACAAGCCTCTCCAAACAAGTGTGCGGACCCCCTGAAAAACAGAACACGGATGCATTGACCCTCTCTCCCACAACATGACAGTAGCCTGCGGGAAGCCCATTATCAGCTTCTAAGTCAGGAAGGAGTGTACCATCTTTCCAACATCTAACAATCATGGAAATGGACAGGGGCCCTCTTTGAAGAGGAAGCAAAGGGATTTGGCTGTGCACCAGGGTTGAGCGATTCAACCCTTTGCTCAAGGTTCAAACGGCTACTGTTAAACAAGCTCCTTCTGGTCCCCATAGGGCTGGGGCTGGCGTGCACCAAGCACCCAATTGCATGCGCCCGTGCGCATCCAAGAAGAACTCATGTGTTGGAACCCATTCCGCTGGTCACGCAAAGAGATGAAACGCTGTTACTGTGGATGGACGAAATCCATTTCGCATCACTTGAAAACCATGGGAACCCATTCTTTATTGTTGGGATTCATCATTCCAGGGTTTCTGAGGTGGTGCAGGATTTCGTCCATCCACAGTAGCGGGAGAAAGCACCTTTCAAGTGGTGCGACGCGTCTTTGTTCCATCCACACTGTAGGAGAGTCGCCTCCAGACTGATAGGTCCTGTGCCGGATTTGTCCGGAGAGCAGTATGTGAGAGTTGGCCAGGCTGGGAATCCAAAGGTTCCAGGAGTTCAACCCAAAGAGGAATCCCGAACGACCCAAACACTGGTCTTGATTGGTTTGTGTAGTTTTGGGGTCCTCCTGTGGATACCATAGGTATCCTTTCTTGGTCAGTTTGGATAGACATAGACATAGATGGCACTGGTTGAGATGTTGTAGTCCATTTACCATGTGCAGGGCAGCTACTTTTCCAAAAGGTCACCTATGGTTGGTTTCCTTCTAGGTTTGCTCGTGTCATGTTTGGTGGATTGTAAGAGCGAAAGCAGGGCCAGTGTTTGTTCTTTCGTTTTTTTTGTTTCCAAGGGACCAAGTCTGCATGCTTGATTTTAGGCCAGCTTATGGCTCAAATGCCCATCGCATCCAAAAGATCTACTTGCGGGTTGGGCACAAGATAGTACATTGGTAGCCTAAATTATAAGACACTTGCTAACTTACCCGAAAATCCAAGTACCCTTCCAGCCATTCCATGGAAGCTCCCACCCCTTAAGACTTAAACTTACACCTGACAGACTGTGCCAGGAGGTTGCTGCCCCTTGTGGGGTTGATTTGAAAGGAAACCAAAGCTTCATGGAACCTACACTAGTGTTACAACTGTTTCCTCTAGATATGCCAAGCTTCCTCAAGGCACAAGGACCACGGAACGCATCGCGGAGCTTTTTTTTGGGGCGATTCCATGGAAGCTTTGGTTTCCTTTCAGTTCAACCCCACAATGGGCAGCAATCTCCAGGCATAGTCTGGCTGGTGTAAGTTTAAGTCTTAAGGGGTGGGAGCTTCCATGGAATGGCTGGAAGGGTACTTGGGTGTTGGGTAAGTTGCAAGTGGCTTATAATTTAGGCTACCAATGTACTATCTGGTGCCCAAAACGCAAGTAGACCTTTTGGATGCTATGGGCATTTGAGCCATAAGCCGGCCTAAAATTCGGCATGCGATGGACTGCTGCAAGCGTCAAACGTCGGCTTCGAGATCGACGTCGCATGACGTCGCCGGATTTCGGATCTCGGGGGATTTGATGACGTGGGGATATGAGGCTCAAGGGAGTTCGCGGTAGCTCTTGTCTCGCTGGAGGGGTCCTGTTTACATGGTTGTCCTTGGAAAACAGTTGAACCATTTTTGATATTATTGTGGCTTGGTGGGAAGGAAATCCAACCACTGAACTGCTAAAGCTTAATCTTGTTGCTCCCCTTCCAACGTCAACCAAGTTGATGTCTGCTTTGCGGCTCAACCTTCATCATGGGGGCTGGGGAGGGGAGGGAGGGGAGGGGGAGGGAGCCCAAATAAGCCCCAAATAAAGCCCCTAATAAGGCTTTTTTTGGGGCTTTTTGGGGCTCCCTCCACCCCTCCCTCCCCCCCAGCCCCCATGACATGTTTCTCCCACTCCCCGAGTTGCTGAAGAACTCGCGTCTTGGTTTGGACTGGCCTCGTGTTGGGAATGGACCCTGGCTGTGGAAGAACTTGGCGAGAAGTGCCAACCAGAGGGACCAGAGAATCGCCGGCCTCTGGCAGGAATCAATCCTTCCATTTGGTTAAGAATATTTGTTAGTTTCCCCTGTTGGTTGTAAAGGGAATCTATCATAACTGTCATTATTATTTTTTTCCAGGGGACTTCAGCAAATGGAAGATTCGAAGGCAGCTTGCGCTGGACAGTCCGGCAGAAGCTGACCACTTTCAAGCCGACGTCCTGTTGTCATTGCTCCTGGTCACCGGTCGCGACCATAGGCGTCCTTTTTAGGTTAGTTTACCTCGAAATAGATGGCTGTGGGTCAAAACCAATGGTACCATTTTGGGGTAGGTGCACCACTAATTTAGTCTTCGTCCAGTGGGGATTGGGATGTTTACTGGGGGTACGGGCTTTTGACCCATGGCCAGATGGCACTGGTTTAGATTGGTTTCATTCCATTTAGGACCATCTAGTTTGCCAAAAGGACACCTATGGTCGAGACGCGTTTTGATCCCTTCAGGAGG